CAACCCCGCCCAAGAGGATACCGGCAAGTCTACCGGTACAGACTACCTGGGCACCGAAGACAACGCAATCACCTCTCTGAACAACAGGAGACCCGGTCTAGACACGATCCGTGACGACACCTGGGAAGCTCGCGACGACTCCAGTACCATTGGCCGTCCTAGCATGTCAGACCAAAGGCCTGATCTCGACGAAGTCCGCGGTCTACTTCGCAAAGCCAGTTCAGCTGGAAAGAGGAAGGGTGGCACCACGCTATCACCATTCGGCTCCCGCGTCTCTGTCGATACACCGCGTCAGAACCCACCACCTCCTCTACCACTCAACATAGTACCGTCTGGTGGCCAGTACGCACAGCCACCAACAGGCAACTTGCCACCACCGCCTCGCAGCACTGCTCCTGGATCGCCGAGTTCCATCTCCACGGGACAGGTAGAGGAGTACTCGTACCAGACTATGGTGCCTCCGCCTCGCTCACGCAGCCGACCGCGTGCTCCGCAGGTGGAAGAGGATGAGGGCGAGAGGCAATGGCAACCTAATGCCAATGCGACGGCGAGGGCCCCATCGAATACGAACAACCCGTATAGGAGTCCGGGGTCGCCGCAGCAGGGATTCCAGTCTTTTAAGAGGGAGTAGAAATTCAACTGAAAGGCCTGTAAGCACGGCATATCATGATCAACATGATTATGCTCGCTAAGGCTAAGGATGTTGGTGTAGGGGTTTTCAAAAAAATGTGTATAATGTCTTTTTCTTATTTGGACTGGAGATATTTAGCATGGCATTAGTGAAGGTGTCTTGACGATGCTCACTATGGCGTTTTTCTATATTCATTGTGTAGTGGTGTGTATATGCTCATAAGGTGGGCTTAGAGATGGAGACTTATCAAAATATACTTTTTAACATTTCATCTCGTGCTGGTTTTGCTGTTTTGAGAGAGTGTGGCTGGCTGTGCACGTATTTTTCTAGGTTTCTGGGTTTCTGGGCGTATATAAACACCTCTTCTGGCTTCGATGCTTCTCTTCTCCATCACACGACTCTTCTCTTTTTCTCCAAAATCACGGACTTATAATCTGATGGAGAAGTTATTTCCTCCAAATCACACCAAAATCCACATTATGGGCGAGAGTCCGTCTTTCTAAAACCAACTACCCTTCCAAACGGACCTCTGAAATACTTCTCCTAAGGTTATGCGTCCACTTCTACTTGGCAACACCTTCTACAAAAAACCGCCAACAAAATGCCATGGAGTCGGCTGGGCAGTTCAAAATTACGGGTCGCACCAACCATGGAGTGGAGGGAGAGTGCCTTCCTTCGGAGAACTGAAATCAAAAAGGCAATTATCCTCACATATGAACAAATCCGCTTTGCGACTACACTCACATATAAAACGAAAGTTACGAAAAAAAAAACTGACGACAAAAATACATGATCTGCTGTCCACAGAATGACTCACGATCTACGAATGTCAAAGACCAGTGATACACATCCAATATCTGCCTCTGGATTCCTTGCTACTCTTTACGAAATCATACGTTTGGAATCCAATGAGGTCTTCCGGTGTCTCAAAAACATTTGTCAGGAAGCGCCTGGAACGAACACTATGCTCCTTCTGAAAAGGATAACTTCCCATGTCATGTTTTGGAGCTCTCGCCTTTCCCTTGAACAGTAGACGATAACTTCCATGACTATGGGGACGTATAAAGTTCGCTGTTCTCGTCGTAGAACTTCTCGTCTTCTATTCTACAACTCCTTGTATTATTTCCAAAAATTACGCTGATCGCTGGGATGGCCGACTTCCTGTTCAAAACCTCTATACTGGATCGCCATGGCGTAGAAAGCAAATGTGGCGAATATCATGCCGCGCGTTCTGCTCTTCTCTCACAACACATGTCCGCTTTGCTATGTTGCGGACTTGCTCCAAATTTCTCTCAAAAGTCATAGTCGTCATGATATGATCTTCGCAGCATATAAAAGGCCCATACTTCTCGCTGGGCTTCCTGCTTTCTTCTCACAATCACCTCATTTGCCTCATTTCCAAAATCCGGATTTCACCACTATATGGGGTGTGCTGCTGTTTCTTCTAAGATGCGCTACCTTCATGGAAACGTGAGAAGGTCTCGCCTTTATTGAAAATCGTACCGACAGCAAGAATGTGGGAGAACGAGCAACGACAAAATCAACGATTCCGGAATACTTGGTCTGATCCCAAGATCCAAACGTTATCGAGGCATGGGGTGTGCATCTCACCTCAAAAATAAGTTCTTCATATCCATGAGAAATGAAACACCAGAATCGCAGCACCTATTGCTAGATATTACTGGAAAACAGCACAAGAGGCCGTCAGGAACGACAGCTGTGCGCGTCTAGCGCCATGAGACAACGGTATAAACCCCTTTCTTCTTGTGCTTCTCCTTCCTCTTTCTTCAAACCACTGCCGTACTATCTTCTTCCAAAATAAACACGCCGAGTATCTACGGAAGTCTGCTGTTCCAAAATTCCATCCCAGAACGACTATATGGAGAGATTTGGTGCCATGTTATACTGAGCCTGTCCCTCTCAGGCGATGCATATAAATATTCTTCCTCCAACAGCACACAAAGTCTCCTTCGTTCCACCACACTTCTATTTTTCTTAAACAAAAACTTTGTGGTTGGTCAAACATGACTGCGTTCCTGGCATCGAGAAAATCTGGGAATTGCCCGCTATGAGGAAACTCCCTCAGAGATTCGAATTGCAAAGCGTTCACCCCATGGTTCGCTTCAAAACTTCCGTGCTTCTACAACATCGACGTGAGCAAAGTTTGGTGCTGAATATAGCGATATCTACAACCAGCTCGGCGATTTACATGGAGAAAGGGATGGGAGGTGTTTCCTCAGAGCGATCTTAGAAATCAATAAAGAACACGAAATGGAGCGGAGTTCTGCCCGACTGGTGGCAAGTTATCTATCTATAAATTCTTCGCCACTCGCTCTTCCAAGATCCATCTTCTCACTACACTGTCCTCTTTTCCTCTAAAACAACAAAGAGATGGAGCGATGGCTGAGAGTTGCGTCTCCAAAACGAACCGGATTCGAGGCATGTGAGAAGAATTCTGCGTCGTTGAGGCGCAGCCAAATACTACAGTCGTGGCATACATGTCTTCGTGCATTGTTGACCACCAAAAGCATATTGGGCAGCAACAACAACCCCTGCCATAACAAAGCACAAGACCGGTTCAATGCATGTGCGTTGAGAAGAAAAGGAAAAAGCAAAGCCATAGGCTTCCGAATAACATTAGATAAGAGACATAATATACATGGTTCTGCCTGCGCAAAAACCTTAGGCTGCATGCAGCGTCCGTTCATCAACCCATCTCAGCGTCAAGCACCTATGATACAATTCTTCCCACTTCCAGCCGCCTCCCAGCGGCATCAAGCCTACTCCCGAGTTCTGCATACATGTCGCACAGATACTTTCGATGCACGGCAATCTCGCCTTGCATCTGCACGTCATCCGCCGCACCATCCACTGGCAGCCCAATCCTCAGATCCACATAGCCCGGTACTGCCGTCAGTAGCTCTCTGAAGAAGGCTTTGTGGACAAAAGGCGTGCTAGACCATTCATAGAACTCCGGATGCGACCATTCGTAGTATCTTGGATGAAGCGTAGGAACAATACGCAGAAACTGTAGTGACGGGAACGCAGAGAGGAAAGAAGCCCAGTCGACGTATCGGTTCATTCGTATAGCATCCTTCAACTGCAGTTCTACCTGCAGTCGTTTGATGCGTGATAGATCCCAGCCTTGCGGGAATTCGTAAGTAGGCACCGGGAGCTTATTGAGCGAAATGGCAAACCAGTTGTTGGTGTACATGCAGTCTGTTGCTTCGCCAGCTAGTCGCTGAGATGCTCGGAGGAGTTCCAGGTGCAGGATTGGCTCAGGATCTGCTGCACGGGGACATACTGGTCGTTGTCCAGTTGAGAGCCGTCGTTGGTTCAGTCGCTCCCGAGACTTGCGTGCTGCGAGGCGTTTCTTGCGGTCATTTAGGATGGCTGTTGCGTCAAGGATGGGGAGGGAACGCGAGGTCTTGCGAACGACGAGATGGGAATAGACCTCATCTCTAATCTCTTGCGGTAGTTCGAAAAAGCGGAAGGGTCTGCCGTTGGTGATCCGTTGGCTCATCAGTGTATTCGGCGTGCGTTGAGGCTTCCGGGCCGGTATCGTCCTTGTCCGCCGTTCATGCTGTGCCCCGTGAATCCTTTGCCTGAACTCGGCGTCTTTCTTTGAAATTTCCCTAGACTCTAAGCCCTTGAGGATGAGTAAACTTGGTAGTAGCTCCTCGAGCTTGGAACTTCCCCGTGGTCTTTGGTGTAGTGCCATCACAGACCAATTGCATGATACAATCTGCGACCATCAGCCACATGTTGGCGACCATTTTGTTTATGAAGTCGCCTGGACAGGGAAATTGCCCTCATCTTACACTGTCAAAATTGCACCAACATGTGGAACCCTGGCTGCGACTCTGCAGGATCGGAGGTTACAGGGTGATACGGTGATGTCGAGGTGTTCGCACCAGGTTCAGTACTGCCCTTGTCCCGAGTGACGGGGTCGAAGCGGGTCGAAGGATTGTGGTGGAGAGGAGGAGCCGGGCGCGGAGATTGTGGTTCAAGCCGCTGAATCACGACAAGGGACAGAGGAAAAATGTGGCATTGTGGCAGATCTTATTCTGTCGAGACAGTCGGCGATTTCAATAGTTAAGATGGTAGCTGCAGATATTGGCGCGAGTGTCAGAAAGAACAATAATGGAAGAAGTAATGGCATACCGTAAAGTGTGGTATAGCGAGGCTATGATGTGTCTTAACAGAGGTATTATAGCTTAGTGTTTCAGCCCAAGAAGATATTGCGCATGCGGTAAGGTTAAGCGAAAGCACTAGAATAGAAAAATCGTTCCCAGGACCTTGGGACGTTCATGCGATCGGTAGTCGGTAAGTGATGGTTCTGTGGCTTGCTTGATGCTTTGCTTGCTGATTATCCGTCTACGCCCACTTTGGCGTGACGGAAGTACTTCATGCCAACCCAGGCAACAACAACCCACACCCAGCTCGTGACTGCCGTGCAAACAATCAATGCGGGATAGTAACCAGTAATGGGCAGGGTCGCGTCGTCTTCAAGGTCAGGTGGAGCGTACGGTGTCTCGCCGACGTCCCACGCCCAACTCCAAACTCCGAGGCAGGAGCCCATACCGACGACAAAGACGATCCAAGTAGCTATGAGCACGACCCAGCCCCACCACTCCGTCTCGCTGTAATCCCACTCGTCATCGGGGTCAGCCTCGGCAGGTGTCAGGACTGCCGAAATGGAAGTGCGTCGGTTACTCCGAGTTGAACGGCGGTGTGAGAGAGATGTAACAGAGCCCTGGTTCGGGCCACTGAAGGAGTAGTCATTGCCCGAGGTAGAGGGGCGGTAGAAGGACATGATGTCGTCTTCATCCGTAGTCGAAGCGTAAGGTGCCACCGGGCTCATAGGTGATGCAAGCAGTGACGGGAGGGTACGTTCAGGGTCGTCGGGTGGAGTGTAAATGACGGCGGGTGACGATGGAGACAGATGGACAGCGGGGAGCCACCCGCTGTCGGACGAAGAATTGAGAGGAGCGTTCTCGTAGCTGAAGCGACCCGGGGCCGTTGCTTCGTCCGAGGGGTTCACGCTCGTTGTAGTGGTAATTGTGGGTGGTTTGGCTTTGCGCAAAGAGCTGCTCCGCTCACGCATCTTCGCCATGGCCGCCTTCCTTAAAGATCCCTTCCTCTGCCTGCCCTGGCTTTGGCGCAGGGCAGTCGCGATGGAAGATGCCCTCTTCGCGACTTCCACATCCTGGTCGTGTCCCTCGTCGTTGCCTATCTGAGTGGATGGTGACTGTGACTTGCCAATGGCATCTCGGAAAGCGCCTAGTATGCCTCCGGACTTGCTTCGTTGATGCCCTTGGCCGTGTTCCTCACGTTTCCCATGCCGCGTCGAAGCATGCTCTCTTTCGCCGTCAGCACGAGCTCTTTCGCCTTCAGCACGACCCTCATTGCGCGCAGCAGTTCCGTCTTGCATGGTTCCCACGTGCGTCAACTACCATGGAGCGCCGTTGTGGTGAATCAAGGTGTCATGTTTGGAGCTAAGCTGTCAACAACGTCAACCCCCGGTCGCGTGTCCTGGTTCCCTTGCAGGCGGGCTAGTCGGGTACGGATTGGCTAATGCACCGACTATGGGTCGCCGCATATGGAAGGCCTCCCTCAATTTCCCCTCCACCTTCCGTCCGGGGTTCGACTGCGCTTCTTATCTGGTTAAGCCTGGAATGCGTCTTCGCTAACAGTCACTCATTACCGTCACTCATTTGCCATCGTCATGGCTTCGAAAATGCCTCTGCCTGCTCCACCGCGGACCCCTACGCCGCCTCCTGACGAGAACGCGCCCCAGCCTGTAGGACTAGGATTCCGAAGCGATCTGGCTGTTGGAGATACGGGGCCTAATAACAATGCGCTGCTCTCGCCCATGTCTGCCACGTTCCCCTCCAAGCAGTATGCGACCCTCGGGCCCAGTGATTCTGTCTCGCAGAGGGCGTCGCCTGCGACTCTGTATACACCCGCGAGCGCGACCTTTCCATACACGCCCGCGAGCGACTCAACCATGAATCTTGAGCCGCCCTCTGCGAACGGGTCCGAGAACCCCAATCCGTTCAATTTCCAATCTGTCGCCTACCAGCCGGGGCGGCCCCAGACAAAGGCTAATGTGCGTTCTTCTACGCAATCTTACGCGATCGTACTGACTCCCGCAGGACATCGGCCGAAGACGAGGACACAAGTACAAACACAGTAGTGTATCACATCAGATATTTCTAGAACCCGCACCGCGCGCTCCGCTCCAGCTCCCTGCCTCGCTTCCAATCCCGACGTTCAAAGAGTACCGCTCGTCCATGTCCAAGGACCAGAAACTGCGGTTGGCATGGTGTTTCTGCCATCTGGTCGTGGCTGGCCTCGTACAATGGGGCGCACATGAATCGCTGGCACTGACAGTATTGTCTCGGCTAATCTTCTACGATGCACTTGGAGCTTTTCTGTGTGTGGCTGTTGACGTCGGATCCAACTTCGAGGTATGGAAGCGATCTAGCATACGACATCCATTTGGCTTTGAACGTCTGGAGGTCATCGCAGGACTAGGCATGTCTGTTGGGCTACTGTTTATGGGACTGGACCTCATATCGCATGGATTGACGCACGCGCTTGAAAACACCGGAGGACATGAGGCGCATCACGCCGATGCTCACGAGCGAGTGTCCGCTGGCAGCATTGATCTTGCCGCTTTGTGCGGTGTTGTCTCGACCCTGGTCTCAGCAATCTTGTTGAAGAACCATGCGCGCATAGGCAAGGTCATGAGGCTAAGTGCGATTGCTAACCTGCCTTCTGTGCTCAGCAACCCGTCGCATTTTCTGACATTGTCGTGCTCGTCACTCCTGCTAATCTTGCCCCTACTGAGCATCCAGATGTATGTGTGGCTTGACCGAACCCTCTCATTTTCAGTTGCCTTCTCCATGGTGGCGCTAGGATGGATTCAAGGATGGACCCTCGGCAAGATGCTGCTCATGTCCTACTCGGGACCCGGCGTGTCGGACATCATGTACGACCTGGAGACGGACCCAGCCGTGCGAACGGTAGAGGAGGCAAAATTCTGGCAGGTACACTACGGGCTCTGCCAGGCGAACCTGAAACTTCGAGTGAGGAATTTGGAGGAAATTGGGCGTCTGCGCGATCGCATTGGCAGCATGGTGCGGAACCGCTTGGGCGGCGGATACGGGAGCGGCGGGCAGAGATGGGAAATTTCGACCCAAATTACACTCGAGAAGGACTGAGGACGCTGGGCGCCGTTGCATGTCCACGATTAGATTCTGCAATAAATCTTTCAGCCCCTGTGGCGGGCCGTCTCCCTAAGACTCTCACTAAGACTCAACTGCAGCCCGAACGTTGGCCCAAAAGCAGTGCGACGCCATGAAGCAAATAGACTTTGGTCTTGCTTTTGCGGGCACGCAACGCTGCATGAGAACTAATCCCGATGGTTCCGTTTGCCTCCTGTGAAAAAACTACATCATCTGCGTATTTAAGACAGCTGGCAGCCAGTGCGTCGACGCCTGACGAATACCCCTGGGCCGACTAAAAGTCTTAGCGAAAGCCCTGAGGACGCTTTCGATCAACAGGCACCCAGTGCGCGCACACCGCCGGCGGCTTGCCCCGTGCGACTGGCCGACTTTGGTCTGATCAGGCTTGGGCTACCTGCAGGTGCTTGCTGTTCGCTCGTCACGCCCACCGCAACTCTCCACACACCCGTTCGCTTTTGTGCGTCGCCTGCACAGCTGCCTTCAGTTTTTCGAGAGCGTTAATGAGCCTGTGACCTGCGAGGCTGGCAGGAGGCACATAATATACTGGCCATATGCCCTGGCTGGGCATGGCGCGAGGACGCGATGACCGGGCCACACGACACCGTGACGACGGCGAATATCTCGACGAGCGAGAACGGAGACATCGCCGACACAAGTCCCGCGAGCACCACGACAACGAACCCACAGCTTCCACACGAGAACGCAGAGAGCGCCGACGGGCGGACGAGGCAAGGAGGCAAGCAGAGGTGGACATTGAAGATTTGAGGGCGCGCAGAGAATCTTACTACTCACGCAACGAGGCCGAGAGGAGGCGCGACCGAGACAGTCGCATGGAGAAGGAGAGCAGCAGACGGGCAGCTCCCGTCAAGGAAAAGTCACGCAGCAGTCGCGAAAAGGACGTGCGACGGGACAGCACGCGGAAGCCCAAGAGGCGAGAAGTGATACCTGATGATGAGGACGACTTCGTCTTTGGCCGCCCCAAGTCCATGGGCCATGTCGAAGAAGTCACTGTGCGACGATCGTCGGCGCGCAAGAGAAGCGAGGAAGGCAATTCTTCTAGCAGGACTGCCTACACTCCGCATTCTGGCTCTGGATCTGCGTCAGTCCGCAGGGTCGAAGTCCCGCCGTTGACCAGGTTAGACCCGTCTCCACTTGTACACGTAGCTCGACTAATGAGGGCCAGGAATTCTTCTACACGCGAGCCAAAAGCACATACACGTGATGCGCCTGTTAGAGAGGCCAGACCCTCTGGTACACGGCAGCGGAGCAATACTGTCAAGTCGCCACCCCCTACGCCGCTTACCAGGACGCAGTCGGTCAAGGATGCTGCCCGTCGGAGTACCGGGGGCATCTTATCAAGCTTGTTCTCTAAGCCTACTCCCATCTCACGTTCGTCTTCCCGTAGGGACCGGGATGAGGAGAAGAGGTTAGTACTAACATCACGTTGTCTCTACTGTGCTAAACTCCATTCAGGGTCGACTGTCTCGTGTGCATGAACGATGACCTTCCTCTCAGCAAGACTGTCAAGCTTGCATGTGGTCACCGCATGTGCTACGGATGCCTCAAACGCCAATTCACCCTCTCGGTCAAGGATCCTGCCCACATGCCACCCCGATGCTGTACCTCAGAGCACATCCCGTTGAAGTATGCCGACCGACTCTTCGATGACAAGTTCAAGGTCCAATGGAACAAAAAGTTTCAAGAGTACACAACCGCCAACCGCCTGTACTGTCCCTCGAAAGGATGCGGCCAGTGGATCAAGCCTTCAAAGATCAAGATGGACCCAACGTACGGCCGCAAGTACGCACGCTGCAGCTCATGCAACACCAAGGTGTGCGTACTCTGCAACAGTAAATTCCACACGAAGCGCGAATGCCCCAAGGACGAGGAGACCAACCGTCTAGTCGAGATGGCCAAGGAGAAGGGTTGGCAACGGTGCTACAGCTGCAAGGCTGTAGTCGAGCTGAAAGAAGGTTGCAATCACATGACCTGGTAAGTCTAGCATGTCACTCGTACACATCACAAGATCTAACAGTAGTCCCTAGCCGCTGCACAGCACAATTCTGCATGGTCTGCGCCGCTCCCTGGAAAACTTGCAACTGCCCATGGTTCAACTATCAACACATTCCCGACGACGACCGCCTAAACGACATGCGCGTTCCCTACCCCCAACAAGCTCGCTACGCCGACGTAGAAGTCATCGAAATCCCGGAACAACCTTCTCCTCCCCTGGCCCGACGCCCCAGCGTCCGCACCCACAACCGCAGTGAACGCGACCTCCCCCGTCCCGAATCCCGCAGGCTATCTGCCCACCTTCGCAACTCGCTTCACCTCAACCCCACGCCCACCGTTTCTTCCGTCCGCCGCGACGGACCGGAGGCCGCAGTATACGGCGTTGGTAACGCGGCTGCTCACCACATGAACGACTCGTACGCCATCCGCACCCCCGTGTCTGCTGTACGTACCGCAACCCGCACATCGACACCCCGCGGATCCTTTTTCAGCAGTAGCACACGCCGCCCTGCGCCTGCTCCCGCGCCCGTTCCTGTAGCCCGTCCCGTTCGACCTGCTCCCCCTCAGCAGGTCGTCACCTCTTCTACCATGGCTGGTCTATCCCGCGACGGCCGCAAAGTCGGGCAGAACCGTGTGGGCACTTGGCTCACACATGTCCAAATCGATCCTGAAGCTACCAACACAGCGGCACAGGGTGTCGAGGTGGATGACTGGAGGTGCGATGGTACCATGATTGGTATCGACTAGATGTCGCATTCTCGCACACTCTGTGCAGAAAAAAACATAATGACGGCGTTTTTTTGCTTGGGTTTCATCTCCTCAACTAGCGTTTTCACTTCTCCGACTTTGCATTTTTCTGGATTTTACTTTGGGATACTACTGGATTTTGGGATACAGGGTTCTTTGTTTTTTCGGTTATGGGAATGTTTAGAGTTACCTTTCTGTCACCCTTTTACGGGTCACCTCTACGCGAGCAATCGCGACGACTTTTTCTTTGTATTGTGTGTATAGTCGTGTTGATATTTAGCGGTTTTTGGTTAGCATTTAGCCGGCAAGATACCCACCTTTACGCCCTCGTTTAATCAGTTATTATGTTAATGCTATCATTTTGTTGTCTATGGAATACGCAAGTCTACTTGAAACTATGGATGTGATGCTTGGTGAGTAGAAAGGGACCGAGGTGAACCATGTTTTGATGTGTAGGATTAGGAGATCTATGGTGTAGGAGAAGTGGAAAGGGTTGATAGTGGTATTGTGATTATATCATCTGATTATAAAGGCTTTGTATACTTTGGTGCTTGTAATCCATCACGAGGCTTGCTGACAGTAAGCGAGACGGGGCACAGTAACTTGATAGATGATGATATTGACCCATAACCTAAGAGCCATGTACCAACTAACCCCATGCTACTACACTGTACCATGATCTCATACTAATCTCGGCTACGACCAAGCCAGTTAGAAATACTGAGATCGATCCAAGTATCATGATGCATGACGCCAGAGTACGTGGCAACAGCGCAATGGTCGCCTTGCTTGACCTGTATGCACAAAAATGAAGCGATGGATCCACGAGCAGAGAGGGGTAGCAGATCCACCCCCACACTGTACCAGCCTTCGTATCTTGGTACCCGAGGCTTATGAATTGGCAAAAAGATTGGTTCGAAAGATCTTGAGCAAGCTCAAGCACGGTAATGTCCCCTTCGTGGATCGAACACGATACCTCCAGATTTAGTGACTGATGACTTCAGTCTGGCGCTCTCCCAATTGAGCTAAGGAGACGATTTCTTATTGGATGTTTCTCGAAAAACATCAATTATATCTCGAGCGTGAACAGCTTCTCGCAAACAAATTAGGTGGCTAGATCATCAAGTCCAAAAGGTCGCCTCGCGTGCGATGTGCATCCGTGGAGCGAATGTTGTTGACTAGAAAGAACAGAGGTTAGTGTACCGAGGCTCGCCCATCGCAAGTCCGTCAGCTCCACATCTCCATCTCCAACATCTTTCTGCGCCAAAGCTCCCACAACTCCACAACGTTGTCGCAAGACTTCCAGTCCCCGTATAACACCTCCGAGATGCAGCCCTCGCCCCTCGCAAACCCATTGGCAACCGTAGCCCAGCTCGAAACCTCCGGTTCCCAACTCGACGGCATCCCATCTGATCTCGAAGACTCAATCCGTTTCGCCGGCGCCCGCCTCACACAAGCCGCAGGCATACTCCTCCGCCTACCACAAGAAGTCGTCGCACAAGCTATTGTAGTGTTTATGCGCTTCTGGCTCGGCCCGGAAGGAGGAAGTCTCGCAGAATTCGGCGCAGAACAAGTCTCAGCCGCATCGCTATACCTCACCACGAAGCTCTCTGCCTATCCCAAGTCAGCGCGCAGTCTGGTTAACGTGTACGCGTATCTTGATTCGTTGCCGGTTACCTATTTCGACGGAGACCATCTGGAGCAGTCGAAGGATGCGGCGAGATATTATGTGAGCGAGGGCACGTACGAGCGGCGCCGCGCAACGTTGTTCACGACCGAACAACGTATTCTTCGTACTCTTGGGTTCAATGTTGCCGTCCAGTTACCTTATACATTGTGTATAACGTATATGCAAGCACTCGACATCTTCTCCCATCCCCGTGCGTCCGAACTTGCGAAACGTGCGATTGCGCATCTGAATACTGCGTTACTGAGTCCGCAGTGCCTGTACCTTACGCATCAGCCACCAGCGCTGGCGACGGCAGCTATCTATCTGGCGGCGAGGGAGACAGGGATCAAGATGCCGGAGTGCGAGTGGTGGGAGGTGTTTGATACAGATAGAGAGGTGTTGGGGTTCTTGTGTGTGGGTATGCTGAGTTTGGAGGGATTTGCAAAGGAAGAACAGAAGAGGTGGGAGGGGAGGAAGTGTCCGATGAGTGTTGAGGCATTGGGGAGGGAGGTTGAGAGGAGGAAGGAGGAAGAGCTGGATGAGGCTTGAGGCAGGCGCCTGGAAGATGACAGAAAACTTGCGCATTGTGCATCAGGGCTTCTCACACAATATGCGCCATAAAGTTCGGTCCTATCTTGGAATCTACGGAATACACGTCACGGATACTACAGGTCGCATACCAATACCTCGTACGGTTCTCGAACCTCCATGACGAATACCGGATGTCGTACAATATCCACGATGTCGCACAATCTTCTGGAAACCCATACGCCTTCACGATGTCAGTCTTTGGCAAACAGTTTGCAAACCTGAAAAGCAGTGCCATTGGTATGACATGATCAGATATCTCGCCAGTACCACAACCAACCAAAGTTTCATTCACACCAATATGGCACAACGAGGAAGACAAGTTAGAGTAGGGGATCGTGTCACTTTCACCATCATCGATGAAGATGTCGATCACACCGGTATAGCATTACGAAGAGTAGAACTTGAGATAGGAGATCCGCAGTTTGTTTCTCCCCAAAGACAGATGACTGATCGCAGTGTAAAACCTCAGAGCGGTCAAATTGTGAAGGGAGCCTACGAGCGGCGTGTTACTCGTTCACAGTCAGATTGGTATGAGCAACGCAATGTGTATTCACAAATGTATCATGAATGGCTACGTCCTGGATTCCCACGATCATTAGATCATCACGAAACCTGTAGCATCGACAACCCTGGAAACAATAGTATGGAGACCCCTCTTTCTCCTGTTGGAGAAAATGACACTACTTCCAGCTCTCGCAGCAACCCAACAAGACTGAGTCGTAGCACTGCTGTAAAGCACAACAGTACGAAAGATAGGAAGACCGAAATTAAGAAGCACGACAGCACAGCACACAACAGCCGCGCTTCAGAGATTGCGGCGGCTCATGCTCCAGCTGCTCGGCCTCCTGTAGATGCACGACCATCTAATGTACGACGTCGCTTTAGCTTCGAACTCGCTGACCCAAGCGATGCAACCGGATTGTCAGACACGCCTAATTTTGAAGACATTCCAATAACTCCAGCGGCCACAGACCTAAAACGTCAGCCGGCACAGGTATCGGAAGCAAATCACCAGGTGCGAGCGTCTATAAATCTCTCTCGACCACAAAGACCTATCTGGGAAGAGCAAGGTCGTCCAGCGACCGAAGAAGAACGCGATCATGAAGAGCTCAAAGACTTGGATAGGGTGCGACGTCGCGTTCTGACGACTTTCGACGAGATATTGGGAGAGCGAAAGATTCCCACAGCGTTACTGTAAGAGTCATAGAGAGATAGAGGTGCTATATCATAGAAGGCTAAGATGTGGATGTGAGAGTCTAGTACTATTGCTCGATCATTTGGCTTTGGCAAACACCATCCCGTCCACAGCCGAGCACATGACTTCCAGACCAACAGCCCGTTGTCAGCTAGCACGTGCTCACACTCAAACGCAATGTCACAACGCAACTGCTTGCTCCACTACACTGTGTATTCGTCGTTTAATCTCCTCATGACTACCACAAAAGCAGGATGAGAGTCCTCCCATCATAGTGCACCATTATAACCTTGACACAATGTATTATCAGTCTCACTTACAGTTTCACACCATCCTGAAGTATCGCGAAGTGCCGCCCAAACCTTTTTTCACATTAATAGATCACTATTTACACCCGGTTCTCTCCCCTTTCTAAGCCAATCACAGTGAATCTACTCTTCACACAACCTCAACTAAGGCACCTCACTTCTAGCTATGCCGCGCACACTCTTCGCTCTACCCACGGAAACCCAATCTTCCTGGCTAGACATCCTCCCGCCATCACCTCGCTCTTCCTCACCACCCAAACGCACACCCCATGCAACTCCCCAAATGTTATCTCGTATTCACGCCGTCAAAGATTCCCTCTCCATCATCAGACTATCTTTGAACACACGCATATACATGTCCTTCTCGCACAAACACAACGGCTTCTACTGCGTTCACTGCACCCCTCGGGCTACCTACGGAGCCTGCGGTCCAACGTGCCCTTTGCTACGCCTACAGAAGTCCTACGGCCCCTTTTTCGACGTCGCAGATGAAGACTGGTACAGATAACTCGCATCTGATAAAGCAAAGTACAGGGAAATCACGCATGATATGGCGGCGCGGGGGACGACCGTGTACGCGAGTACTGTTGCGCGGTGGGAGAGGGCGGTAGCGAAATTGAGAAAGGGGATTGAGGTGCCGAGTGAACATTGGGAGAGCGAGGGGTGGCGGTATGTTAAGATTGTGGACAAGAGGAAGGGGATAGAGTTCAAGAAGGAGTGGAGCTTCGAAGGGGCTTGGGGGAGAGGGCCTGGGTTGGAAGGGGAGGTGGCGCCTGAGGTGAGGAAGAGGAAGCTTGGAGGAAGTGTTGATGCTGATGGGAGTTATAGATTGGTGGAAAACATTGCAAAACGAGTCAAGAGAATGTAGTTAGTATGCGTCAGAGGAGCCGAAGGGAGTAAAGAAGGGTTATTTGTGTTTGATGCTGACGCTTCTGTGTAAAACGCAGGTATGGTTATTGATATGTAAGACATTCTTTCCAGTTTCATTCCTCAATCAAGAAACTATTCCTTTCAATCTGTTGTAAACATTGGTATAAGTACCTAGTGCCGAATGAAACAAGAGGTCACGAATACCCCTCGGGTTCGATATCGTATACTGGTACTCGATCCTGAGTTAACTTTAAACATTCGAAGTTCAGAGGTTAGGTTTTGCCTGTCACAAGTTAGTGAAGAACCTTGTTCAAAGTAACTACTTCTTACCTGCATGGCTCTGAACGACTCTACTGTATCCGTAATTGTTTCCTTTAACCCTCTAAAGCTCATCCCTAGCTCCTTCTTTGTCCAAGAGTTGTCTACCAGGAAATGTTCATGTCGCGGTTTACCTTCTGGATCTGGTACGGAGCCGGCCCATTCTGGCGCCACATCTTTCAGTATAGCACAAACATCCTGGAAAAGGAATGTCCCGCCGACTGGTAGAAAACGTCCTCCAGTTGCATGCTCGAATGCTTTAAGGTGTGTTTGAGCGACATCCCGAACGTCGCAAAACGCAGGCAGAGGTGTTGGCGGAACTTCCTTGACGTGCCCTGTCATCAGGTTCCAGATGTCGAGCGCAGATTGATTTAAGTTTGCAGTGGAGTCAAGCTGGGCGACTGGACCATAGACCATGGGGGGATTAACGGTCGCGAGGCTGAAGCTTGGCTTCTCGGCTTCTACAAAGTCCCACGCAGCCAGTTCTGCGAGCTTCTTGGAAGCGCTTCAATGTTCAATCAGTATCTTACTCGATAGATTCTTTGGACTAGGACTTACGCGTATTGGAGTGGCTTGACTTTGAGTGCTTGCTCCTTGGTGATCGGATTCCAATCCTTCTCGGTGTAGACATACCCTGGTCGTGGACCCTTGGAAAAGTCACAGACAGCTGCAAATGACGATGTTACCACTACACGTTTGATTCTGCCATCGTTCCTTTTCGCAGCACTTTTTAAAATTCCAAGAGTACCATGAACAGCAGGAAGGTATACATCGTCGAAATTCTTGACACCGTTATAGAAAGGCGAAGCCACATGGATTATGCCGTCGACACCATCGAGATGACTGTCGAATGCGCCTGGTGCGGTAATATCAGGGACAATTACCAGCTCGTACTTTAGACCAGAGATTCCAAGCTTGTTGGCGGCGGTGTGTACTTGTGCTGCAGACTTCTGGCTCCGCACCGCTCCGCGAACGAAGTATCCCGCAGACGTGAAAGATAAGAGGGTCTGAATACCGACAAACCCGGAGACACCAGTCATGAGGACTGTTTTCGATGCCATCCTGCGCCAGCGATTAGGCAATGAGCTTTGGATATACTGAAAGCCGTTGGTACAACCCTACCTGATCGGAGGTGATTAGGATGACTTTTCTGGATAGGTGCAAAGGTTAGATTGAGATATAAGAAGATTGGATCGCTACTGAAACTAAAAGGGCACTCTTTAACCTTTTGTGAATGAAGTAGTATATGGAGGGGGTTTTCAAGCTTGACCCTCGGGTGATCACTAAACACCAAACACTGGGTAAGTAAGCAGGATACTAAACATCAAACCCTACGCGCGTAAGCTGTATGATCTTTTACTTTTCCAGTGGACAACAGACATTGAACCCCGCTACATAGGTAGCTTGAACCGAGGTATAGGGAGCAGCAGCAGCAGCAGCATAAGAAGCGAGGGTGGTTGACTGGATTGAGACAAATCCTTAACTAATCCAAGGTCTTTGAACGGAACCATTGCTTCTCTTACTGAACATCTTTTTCGGGACACTTTCTGCAAGATACATCAAAGATGCCCATCTGGCTCGTTCTTCATGGCTCAGCAACTTTCACTGACGAAGCCTCCCGCGAGGCGTTTGCCAAGGACGTTACCTCCAAAATATACAAGATGATTCCACCCTTTTACACTGACGTATCATTTGTCCCAACGTCATCCCAGTATGTCGGTGGCGTGAAGAATGATAAGATGGTGCGATTCGTCATCTTCGAGCTAGCTGGAACGCACAATGCTGCTGAGGAGCGCGAGGCGTGGATTCATCACATCGACTCCGTGATAAAGCCTCATGTTGCAGATAAAGGCTATGATTGGGAATTCCATATCGAAGAACCACGAAGAGATCTGTGGAAGATCCAAGGATTGATACCACCGCCATTGGTGAGCGAGGCGCACAAGAAGTGGAGAAGAGAAAACAAGCCGACTCCATATACTAAGCAGGATGGACGGATCGAGAAAGCGATGTTGTAAGAACGGACAAAGTGGCCTTTTGCCCGATTCGAGTTGATGGCTTTGATTTTGTTATGGTCGAGGAAACTTTGGTGGTGGAGATAAGGTGCGATAAGAACAGGTAGTATGATTACGAGGGTTGAACCATAAGAGTGAATCAACGCACCTGGTGTTACGTCTGATGAAACATCACTCTTTTTGACAGGTTATGTTATCTTCAAAGGCGTCTGCTTCGTACACTAGTGTTCCAGCCTCGTTGCCCATGTAATCTTCAGGCTCCTGTATGTCGCTCAAAAAACTCTTTGGTCGCTTGAAACTTGGTGTCCGCTCGGCTGTAGGACCATGAAATCAAGATCATTATGCGATCCTGAGGCTTTTGTCATGCTTTTGATAGCTACTCGTATTGCTGAACATGTATATGTAAAGGTCAAAGTCTGAATCGTACTTAGCGCAGGTTTTGTAGACATATAAACATGGCATGTTCAGCTCTAAGTGCGGGCAGGAGTGCAGTATCCTTGAGTGACTGTAAGGCTAAGCGATCGCCGCTGCAGCGTTGCAGATGTGGTTATTCGAGCCTCCTGTGACGTGCGTCGCGGCTAAACCATGACGTCAATGCGAGCTTAGACAAACTACAGCTCCAGAACTCGACGTCTTGCATACAACCAACTCAACTCAAACCTACACATCTTGCAATACCAGAATCTTTGTCGATCTCAATTCCTTTGTACCAATTTACATCATGAGCTTCCTTCGCCCCATGTCGATGCTGCGTTCGGCAGCTCTACGGCCCGCACTTTCGGCGGCCCCCCGTGCCCGTGTACAAGTCCGCTTCGCGACCTCAGATTACGGTTCCGGTAAGGGCAACCCAGCTGGAGAGTCACCGGAGAAGCAAGGCCAGAACCCCAGCGAGAACCTCGAGCATCCCGGCCCCGCACCGCCCAAGGTTGCCCAAGGCCAGTCTTCGTCGTCGCCAAACAAGGACGGCAACTCGAACCAGAATGAGTCCCCCAAGCCCTCATCAGAGTCGCCAGCTCCTTCATCAAACAAGTCTGGCAAGCGCGAGTTCTCGACATTTGCACGCCAGATGAAGGAGAGCAAAGAGCCAGCCGTCAAGCAGGGTCAAGACAACAAGCCCAGCCCCAACGAAGTCAAAGGTGCGAAACCCAAAATCCTCAACGAAAACCCTCCTGCACCCGAAGAAGAGAGCGAGGACGTCAAGCAACACAACAAGGACATGGGTAACCGGGCGGAACAGGCGCATGAGAAGGTCGACAATGAGGAAGCAGAGAAGGACAAAGTCCCTGCCAGCTTCTGGAAAGGTACGTTATGTCAAAGCGACAGGCATTGGACATGTTGCTAACAAGTGCACAGGCGAAGGTGGACGAAGTGGATCTGAAGGCGTACGAGGATGAGCAAGAGCTTATGCAGAGCGCGAACAACATGACCCTGATGTATAATTAGCTAGAAATGACTGTCGAGAGTCTCAGGAAATGCATGGCATCCATCAAGCACCAAGTGCTTAATTGACGTGTTCGCGTGCTACCCATGGGTTCTCGTGTGTAAAAGAAGGGCTGAGCTTCATAACTCTTGTGCATGTTGGGCCGATGACGTAGTTGGCTAGCGTGGTGATCGCCCCCGCATTATGGGGATGGGAATTTTTTGAAATGCCATGGCGACACACGGCACAGCCGAGTGGAGCTATTTCGTGCCACTTGTGCCATGATGATGAGTTTTGACATGGCAAACAAGATGACATGCCTCGGAGGTTCTCTCCCAGACTGTCAGATGTCAAACATAACAAAGGCCTAGACCGTGTTTGTAGAAGACGATCTCACAATTGCGCACAGTCAAAAGACGCGGTTGCATGTGGCCATAGCCCCTCATTGGCTGCTTCTGGAGGCAGGCGCGTTGGGGATCTTGTTTGTCCAAGCTCCATACGTGCAGCACTACGTCACTCCCACGCACACAATCTACCCGCCATTGTCTGTCCCTCCCCTCATAAACGCTTTGCCCACCATTACCTCTAGTCCTCACACCTCTGCCGAGTTTGCCTAAATCTCGACCCTCGTCTTTTTCCCTATCACCGATATTAAGCATTCTCATATCGGCAGCCGCACATCATGAGATTCTCCCTTACATCCACTCTCGTGGCATCGCTTGCTGCTACAGCAACGGCCAACAGCTGGTTTGGAAGCGCTGGTGCGTATAGTAAACAAGCCCTCCTCTTTGTTTTTGAATTACCCATCGCGTCATGCAGCAGTAAACTGACGTCAGGAAGCAGTCTACGACAAGTGGCATGAGACGGAGCTTGAGCGCTGGCTCAGCGACCACGGCGTTCCCCACCCCAGCCCCTCTGACCGCAAGAACCTCCAGTCGACGGTCAAGGCCAACTGGAACGACAAGGTTGTGACTCCCTACACCAGCTGGGATGCACAGACTCTCTCGAACTACCTGACCCTCAAGGGCCAGCAGGCCAAGAAGGGCACTGAGAAGGATGCCAAGAGCCTCGCTGAGCAGGTCAAGGTCTACTGGACTGAGACTGAGGACTCGGCGAACCAGGCCTATGGTAGCGTCAAGGAATGGATCTTCGATTCGTACGTGCCGGTGCCAGTATCACTTCATCTGTACAATGGCTAACAATCCGCAGTTGGTCGGATTCTCAGCTCAAGGCTTTTGCCGACAAGCACGGCATCCCCGTCCCCCAGCCCCGCCAGCGTGACTCTCTTCTCGCAGCCGTCCGTGACAACTACCAGTCCGCAGCCGAGAAGGCCAAGGAGACTGCCAACTACCCCGGTGACTGGCTCTACGCTTCCTGGTCTGACTCTGACCTCAAGTCTTGGTTCGACGAGCGCGGTTACAACGTTCCCCAGCCCAGCACCCGCGATTCGATGATTGCTGCTCTCCGCCGCCAGTCTCGTCTTGCTAGCCAACAATCCCAGAGTGCCTACGCTTCCGTTTCTTCCGCTGCTGCCAACGCCCAGCAGAGCCTCAGTGACGCCCTCCTTGACTCTTGGTCTGACAGCCAGATCAAGGAGTGGGCTGACAAGAACGGCATCAAGGTTCCCCAGGGTTCCAAGCGTAACGAGCTCATCGCTCTTGCCCGCAAGCACCGTGCTCGTCTCTACGGCGACAGCGCTTCTGCCTCTGCCGAATCTGTCTCTGCTTCTGGTGCTTCCGCTTACGGTGCCGCTACCTCCAAGGCTGGTAACCAGTACGCTGCTGCCACGGGTGGATTCGCTTACTACACCGACTTGATCAAGCAACAGATTGGTCTCGCTGAGGCTAGCGTTGCCTCCGCTACTGATGCTGCCGGATCCAGCGCCAGCTCTGCTTCTGCCCGTGCTTCCTCCAGCGCCAGCTCCCTTACTGGCGCTGCTGCCAAGGCTGCTTCCTCATCCTCGTCCTCTATCTCCAAGTCGGCTGCTAGCGCCAACGCTGCTGCCTCCTCGTCCGCTTCCAGCGCTTCCTCTGTTGCCTCAAAGTCTGCTCAGAGCGGATACGATGCTGCTGCCGCTAGCGCCAGCTCCGCCTCTGCCTCTGCTAAGCAGGAGTTGTAAGCGTCTCGCTACCAATCACCACCGACAAGCAACGTTCGGTCATATCCTTCCTCCCTTTGATATGACTGCCATACGTGCCACTTTCACGACCTTACGATCTGCGTACGGAATAGGCGGAAAATGAAATGGAATCACTGTAACATTAGGATCACAACGATATCCCCTCTGCGACCACCTCCTAGTAGGCTTTCGGAGGGTCGATTTGAGTTTTTCTTTTATTCCTTCCTTGGAAATTGGGAAGGAAGGATGCACGGCGTCTCACGTAGTTTAGTATGCCGCTTGATAATGAAAAAAAGTATAATTGCATCTGCTATGTTCGAATGGATGGGTGTTTGATGTATGATGTAAGGTTATGTGTGGAGAACGCGGCGGGACGGGAGTATATATGTTGCCGTGGTGACATGTTTAGGACGGTGGTGAATGGCAGCCCTGCAACATGAAATCATATTGACCTGTGCATGCAAATTCGAAGGCAACTTGCAGTATCGTATGTAGCCATTGGAGTCGGCGCTAATCTGACGCGGCCCAGACCAATGATGTCTGGCACCTGCGGCACCATCAAACTGAACACCAACCACAACTTTATTGTGCACATGTCATCACAAGATGAGCGCATTTCGCGCAGCTTCCAGAACATACACTGCCAACATTACAAGCTTTGACAAGCTCATCGCCCCGTAATCCGCGGACCGATTTGTTTCACTGCAGATCTGCGACGCGAACACCCTGTTTCGAGTCTCACGGCCGTCTCCAGTTTTCTCACCGTACGAATGGGACGAGAAGAAGCGAACTCCGCATGAGAAAAGTGTCAAAGAGTAATCCCGGTTCCCTCTCTCCGGATTTTGATAAGGTTGGGAGCGCTATTCATGAGGTGCAGATTGTGAGAGCATGCGTAGCTCAGCGCCCAAAGGCGACTTCATCGGCCCGTAAATCAGACAGACTGTGTAATCGGAGGCTCGGGACGCGAGGAAGTATAAGATGGCGCTCAGGTATCTGTGGAATGGTGCATCAGTCTCATCAATCTTTTCAAGCTTTCCTTCGTTCCTCCCTCTACAATCGCTACTCACCTGGAGTGAGCTAGACTTCAATTTACTACATACATCAACGTACACATATACCTAATCTTAAATTTACCATTCGCGCTTCACACATACGCCAAAATGAAGACCTTCACCCTCCTCTGCCTTTTCGCCTCCGCCATCGCAGCTCCAGCTCCCCAAGCCTCTGGCACCACCAACTGCGCCGCCATCCAAACGAAGCTCGAGCAGGGCATCCAAGCCAACCTCGACATTCAAGCCCGAGAGCTAAAAGGGTATGCTTACTCCCCTTCCGCACAAAATTCCACAATACTGACAGGTGCCCCCCTCAGCGTGTACGCCTTAAAACTTCAAGCCGGAACCGCCGGATTCAACGCCACCCAAACTTCCGTTCTTGCAATCCAACAACGTGGCGTCGACATTCGCGCCAACAACCAGAAACTCGCCAAGGAGATCAACAGCCCGGCTGCTGATGGACTGGCTATCGTAGCTGGTGCGCAGACCAAAGAGATTGGTCAGGTCAAGAATTTGAAGGGTAATGCAGCGGCGGATGGAGAGACGATCAAGATGTTGGTGCAGGAGGTCATGGATGGGACGATGCAGAATCAGAAGAACTTACAGGCGGCAAAGGGTCAGGTTTGTGCGAAGTAGGGGGGTTAGCTTGAACAGGAGTGAGTTGGGTAGCATGTGTTTAATTGTAAGAGTACTGCTGAGTGCTGTCTTTGGGGGGGTTGTATGGCATGATATTTCAAGAGATGGTAATGCTAGTCTGGTATCCACAGGTTCGTCTACGATAATTCAACGTATAGTACGTAGATGCTCAAATGGTGCACTGCATGCATCAGTATATCAGAGATTAACACATTCATAAATCACTTACGCATTGGATAAACGAGTCACACAGCTGTTAGTCTTTTTTTTCTTTGCTCGGAATCGGACTTAACACTTACTCCGCTACCGTTGCAAGAGTCGAGGGCGGGCCGTCCACCCCTACCAGGGTATACACAATTCCTAAATGTAGGAAAAGTCGGATTTGGACTTCCTGGTTCTTGACACTATACGCGTATTATGAATTGAGATTCTTCTTCTTGTGCTTCACTAATAACTCACGCAGAAGGACCAGCTCTGCGAACAGTTAGTAGGGGCTGGCTTTCTAGTGATCTGTGCTGTACTCACATAGGGACTGGGACATGAAGACCCTGACGGTAAACCCCATCCTCCGTTACAAAAAGCGGCCTCTGAAGAGGCAGCGATAGCCGCAAGAATTGGCAGGGCAAGTTTCATGGTAGTGGATGACGAGGATACGTTATTTCTCCAAGGGTGTACCAAACAACTAGCTGTGTGATGAACACACATATATACCCGATCTTGACATCTTATACGGATGAATTCTTGTCCAGCATCAATGAGCGGTCACTCATCAACAATATCTCACCGATATACCTGGACACTCTGGATTAACTGTGGTTCCTACTTGGTTTCCGCCGCGATATATCCGCAACTAGCTCAAGCTAGGTAGTCAATTTCGCCATGTCGGGAAGTCGGAATAGAGCAGGGGTCGTGCGGTGAAGACTTTCCATGGAATATGAATGATAGAGTGCAGTGTAAGAGGAAACAGGTAATGCTCTTCTCACCAACCAAGTGGTGGCAGCGAGCAAACAGCCTGACTGCTCATGATTGAATTGATATTGCGCTACTGCCAAAGTACCGAACCAAACTGCTGGTGAAGTGGTCGTCGGGTACGTAAGTACCGGTGGACTAGACCAAGCTGCAGGGTTCAATTGAGGCGGTAACTCGGAAATCGGCTACCGCTAAGGAGCTTCCGAGCACAGCTACTGTACGGAAGAAGACATACGAAGCATCATAGTATCGCAAACATCGAGTTGTGGACCCATTGCGCAGCTGCCGGCTGGGCAGCTTACGCTAGCACTAGCACGGACTTGGCTAGCGCCAGGAACTGATACGTACGTAAAGGCACCGGGATAAGTGCTCTTCTCCAAGGCCCGAATGAACTTGAAACGGGATTGTTTTGACGATAATGGTGATGTCGAATTGGAGGAATATCGCTGTTCAATAATCACGTAGGAATACATAGGTAGATGGTAATGCAGGTGTGTTTTCAGGCTACCTGGTTTCCGCTACATGCAAATGTACATGTTCATTCACTAAAGTGAGTGAAGCCAAGGCCATGAATGCCATGTATGTTGAACCGGGAAATAGCGATGAGAATACAAACTACGGCTTTATGTTGATCGTTGCCCATCTAGCACGGCGAAGAACCCACGACCCATTTTAATAGATTGCCCAGGTAAGGCTCATGGCATGACGAAGATGCCTACCAGTATAGAGAGACTAGAACTGATCTACGGATATACCAAACAGCAATATAAATACTTGGACATACGCTCTTCTGGAACGTCTATCATCAACCAGCTACTCAATTGACTTCGACATAATACCCTCAAAAACCCGACCGCCATGCAGCCTCTTCGCATCCTCTCTTCTGTGGTTCTCAGCCTCACACTAGTAACAGCTTCTCCTGTTCCTGACTCTGCCGTTCAAATCTCCGACAACGCACAAATGCTTGGACGAAACAGGTGTCTCTACTCCGGCAATCAAATCAAGACATGCTCCGGTGACGGAGCGGGAGTGTGTTGCACTGGTGACTTGAAGTGTCCAAGTGGTGGAGGTTGCGCTGCCGCTGGTGTCTGCTACTACAACTGTTAAGGCTGCGATCGGATGCTTCTGTTTCTGTTGCTTACCCATACGGTAATTTGTTCCTTCCTTCATGATCTGGATTGGTTCAGTGATCTAACAGGCGTAGTCGATTTGATACGTTTTGGAAGCTTCATACCCAAAGCATAAGATAATTGGTGTCATTGTTCTGGAACCGCGAGCTCCCTTCCAATTAATTCAGTATGGTCCTAGAATAACTGTCGGCATCAAGTTTGGAGTCAGTTAGTGAGAATGATATGCAGTTCTTCCTCTTTTTTTTTTTTCAAGTAGACACACAAGTCATGGACTGCTTGAGAGAGTTTCTAGATTGTAAAGGTGTTAGCATCTACCAGTGAACCAAAAGACAGATTCGTCAAACCGTGAAATAGCGCAGCTAGGTTAGGCTTAAGCCATGGCCGCAGGGGAGCCACACAGTTCGTGTGGCGGCTTCCTAAATCTATGAATTCGCCCAGTACTTAATTTCGTCTCTCCTTAACTTTGGCTGCGAAACCGATGAGCCGGATATAGAGACTCAGATCCAAGCTCTGCATGCAGTCCTTCGCTGATCATATTAAGACATAAGGAGAGGCGAGAGAATGGTAACCTACTTGTTAGTAGTGTCGTAGCGTAGATATAGCGTGGCAAGCGCAACAGCGAGTGCGCGCCACAGGAAGGCTTATTTCCAACATCACAACACCAGCTACAACACTGACAATAGAACAGGGGGCAGCCAAAGCTGTTTTGTGGGTATGCAATTGTACAGTATTCGCGATTACATCTCGAAAATCATCTGCTAATCCCCTGCAGTATTAGATTCTCAACACTGCACGCCGAGAACCGCGGTACAGCGGTGACCCAGATGAGCTCCAGCAAAACAACACCAAAGTCGTACAATCATTCCGGTCCTCAAAGCACAAGTCAATGACCTTTGCCATACGAACCAGGACTCCTCTGGAAGACCCAAAGGCAATTCTACTTACTCGTGGAGTTCTAGCACTACGTTCAGATGACGAAGAAGCGGTATCTGGGAATAGTGTGTTAAACACCGGGGCCTTGATTCCTAGCTCGCCACCCCGCGTCGCCGATGCAGGTTCGTAACGAAAACCCAGGGTTACTTCGTCATGGGTCCATGTCTGTCGTGCGCACCGAGCCAGACAATGTCACACCGCCCTAGAGCAGACTCCACTGCGTCCCGCAAACCTAGGATGATTCGACCTTCAGGCCTTCCTGTGTGCACTATACCGATGACGGAGCACCTAGTGTCAGTGTTCCTTGAGCGATGTCCATCTCCGCATTGCGATCGACGGCGAGGCTACGGCAAGGCTGGTCGGCAATATTAACTTTCAGCCTATTCTAGTTAGCCGCACCTGATTTGGACAACAAGGGAGAGTCAGGGCCCAATGCGGTCTTCATCGCGTCGATTATCCAGAACCGGTGTGTCTGAAGGTGCATGCAACCCTGTTGCACTTAACACCAACAGCCTTAGCTTCGAATATGGCATGGAAAAAACTTTCAGGTTCTCCATACCCAACCCATATGGTCCATGCTGTACCCCACGGAAAGTGTGCCGTCCCGGAATCTGGGTTATCCGCAGTACCTAAATAAGTAAGATCGTAGCCAGGGGTGGCCCTTTAGACCTTTATGTGGTGAGCTGAAGATGCAGGATGTAAGGAGTTTGCATTATAGAATACACTTTCGGGCCTTACTTACACCCAATCGCAACCTATGGAATTCACATTGTACCGTACGAATAGTGCGCTGTCCTGAGAGCTAGATCATTTGCAGTAATTAGGATGGTAGCGAGAGACTAAGAGACGGGATCAGGACAGTCGGATGAGGCGCTGGATCTTCATTTAGTCTTCATGTGGTGAGCTGAAGATGTGGAGTGTGGGGAGTCATGGCTGGAAGCTCCGCGGTATACGTCTGAGCTCTATGAACTTGGAATCGAGATGAGCAGTATAAGAGTCTGGTACATCCTTCGACGATAAGTATTACAACATCCATCGTCGTTGATCACACTCGACACCTTGATCACCACCTTGATTGTCACCTTGCGAGTCATGCTTGGCGCAAAACCACTCACTTGCGGCATCCTTGCTGCTATTGCACCCATTGCAGCGGCTGGATATGGAAATGCAAACCCTTTCTGCAAAGGTGGCATTCCTGCCATCGCAGCTGCTATCCTGACCAAATACGAACCTGCTGAGACTTTCTGTTCGAGCGCATATCCTCTGCCCAAAATCACGTCGACCAAGACTGCAAGCACGTCGACCGTAACGACCACTGTTGCTACTGTGAGTCCTACCACCACAATCGCTACTGTCACAGCAACGTAAGTCCTCCATCCATTCCTAGATTTGTAATGACTAAGTCGTGATAGAATCACTCCTTCCACTGAGACAGTCACTGTCACTTCGGACACAGTGACAGAATCGGTCACCACCACTGTTGATACCACCACGTTCACAGAGTGAGTTTAGTACTACTAGTAATAATCTTCAAAACTAATGGCCTCATAGATACGTTGAAGCGACGACTACGTCGACATCTACGTTCTACACCATCTCCATTATACAGAAGCGAGATGAAGACAACCAACTGGTTGAACGCCACAACCCTCAGGCAGCATCTCACTGGGCTAGCGTCCAGAAGCAAGCCAAGTCCTTCGTCGGTAGCGTGTGCACATGTCTAGAAACGCCTGTCACCGTCTCAGCGACAACGACACCATTGACAACGACAAGTGTCACGGCCACTTCATCCGTCGAGGTTACTGCTACAGCCACAGAGTAAGTTCAGACCATGCCTTGGGCGAACACAAAAGCCTGACTTTTGCAGCACCGTGACCGCCACCTCGACCGTGTCCGCTACCTCAACCACCACCACAACAATTTCCATCACCGCAAGCGAAAGCATCACCAGCACCACCACGACGACGATTGTCGAGACGGTCACAGCTGTCGCACAGTACCGGGGTCCTATCTGCAACAAGCCGAACATGCAAGGAGGTATGGGAGGCTGCTCGTCGAACTGCTATTGCGATCCCCGCACGCCCGGTGGCCAGCAATACGGCGTCTGTGACACAGCTACTGGCTGCACTCAGCCTTCCTGCTCGAGCGATCTCGACTGCGGCCCTGGCCAGGCTTGCGCCAACTACAGCTGTCCTCAGGGCCCAGTGTGCGTGAACTACTCGGGTTGCTCGTCGTCATTTGTGCCGGCTCAGGCGCCGGCTAAGAGGGGATTGGTTGAAGGTGCGAAGAGGATGGCTCAAGGAGAGCGGAGAGCACAGGCTGTTGATGCGAAGAAGTTGCTCCAGTGCAGGTGGGATGGACTTACGCCGCAGCAATGCCCAGCTTAAGACAGACCTACTCCGAGGGATACATAACTCTCAAAGTCAAAGCAGTTACGAATCCATGTCATCAATTCCTGACTCTGACCCACATGTGTGCATGCCATAACGACTGCCCGAACATCATTCTTTTTCGTTCATCATTTGGTTTTTCGCTACTAGTTCTCTCTTGGTAACCTCGCTGCTCGTCAAAGTGCTTCTCCATAGCCCAATCCATCTTGTGGTTTTCGAATAAGAGAGGGTGGTGTTGAAAGAGAGAGTCGGAGTAGGGAGACAAACTTGATATGGAATGATTTGAGAAGTGTAAGAAACACATGCAAGTATGTGTGTACAGCTTTGGATAGTCACAACATTTCGCAGTTCCCGATAGTGTTTGTTTTAGAGAATTAATCCACAAACTCCACATGGAGAGTCCTGTTGTGTGGTTTGAAGAATAAGGAGAAACAAAATGATGTCGAAAAGGAAGGGTGTAAGCTGAGCTGTTTATATAGCCAGCTCCGACACTAAGCGAGTGCCATTAGGTAGGTAGCATACGATATCATATATTGAAAGAGAACCAGGCGGATGCCCATGGTCTTCTAGAACCACGGTTTTGTGCTCCTGCGACCATGCTGCGAAAAACACCCATCGACTTTCTCAACAAGCTTGTTTTATCCACATGTTCCTCTAGTGCGCCATCTTTGGAAGAATTCCGTTCTCGGAGGCATAGTGAGCCGGAGCCCTGTTTTGGGGTAACCCGTACAGTTGAGCAGAACGCACGTGAAATCAATGCGATCTGTTTCAGGAAGTTTCTGGAGCGAACAACACATGTATTATGGAAGGTGTATTTCTGAATATAAGAAGAGCATTCTTGTTGCTCATAGGTTGAATTTTCGCTGGTTTTTGGACATAAGAACAGGATAACCTTTTTTTGGTATAAAAGTAGAGGGTGTTGACGGAAAGAGAAAATAAGTAGGGAAGAGAACTTTATACGGAGTGAGTCGAGAGGCGCTAGAAACACATACACGTGTTTGGCTGAAACTTTGAATTTTTACTGCGTTTGTCAATTTTCGATGGCCGGCTTCAAAGCCGATGTTCAATTCTACATGAGTGACAAACTGACTTCAGTGATCAGCAGGCCTACACGGCATGTATTCAGCGTCCTGAGCGCATTGATCTTCGACCGATTTCTCTACCCACGTCTCTTATTCCAAGTCTGCTGAGAAACAATCCACTGTCCCGCTCCCTCTCCCAACTCATCACCCAGCCTAAACAAATACCCCTCCAAACCTTCTAGTCCTGCCCTGACCCTCACCGCAATGTTACCTCCCTCCCGAAACGTTTCCTGCAGCGCTGCGAACCCATCAACCAGTACTTCATGAACCGGGAAATACCCAGTCTCCGTTGTCACGTAGTCATGATGCGCCTTCTTTAACTGAGTAACAAGGCATGAGTTCTTGATCTTCATAGTGAATGGACTCAGAATCTGCGATGGCAGGAGTGCCGTGGCATGCGCGCTTTGGACCGATAGGATAGCCCGACGGTATGTGAGCCAGGCGGCGACAGTGACGAGGAGGTGATCGGTAAAGTCCTTGCCTACTCGCATATAGGACAGGAAGAGAGCGATCTCGGAGAAGGACTCTTCAATCACGTCTAGTGTGGTAGCTTCCGAAAAACGTGGCGACCCGAAGTTGTCGAAGTATAAGAGGAACATAGCCGTGAATTCCGCACAACAAACTCTCATCTCGATATGGACCTTCTTCCTGTGTTTGTTCAGCGCGTCGTGCTTCTTACTGTCGCTGAGCACTTCAAGCAAATGACACATCTCCGTTCCAAAGTAATCCAGCGCTTCAAGCATCCTCTTTCTCTTGTCTCTTCTCTCCTTCTTTTCACGGTCCGGAAGCCTATCGAGCTCATCAAGGTATTTTATGAAGGCCATAGAAGAGGTAGGAAGGTTGATTGCGAATAGAGAGTGGACCGGTTGATTTGTCCTTGGGCCGGTTGAGTCGTTCTGTCCAGATATCGCAGTTCCGTCTACGCGATCGAGCTGCCTTGTCGTAGTATCTAGTCGCGAAGAGAGAGGCGTGGTCCTACTTGTACTCGCGCCACAAGAACTGAGCAAGGAAGCAGCGATCTCTGCAGGTAATGGACCGTGCATGATATCGCCTTGGTGTCTCTTGAGGTATTTGGTACGGGTATGGATTGCGGTATCAGTCAGCGTAGGCAGATTGAACGGCGTTATGGCCGTATGAAAACTTGGGCGTTGAGCGACGGCGTGTCGGCGTTAGAGAAAAAAAAGTGAATGTGAATTTGAACACAATTGGTGAGAGATGAAGGTGAGGAATGAGCATTAACCTCCAACACCGTATCCCGAGCGCCCATCTGACAGAATTGAAAGGGAAGATAACCCATAGTATACATGTGCGAGAAGTCCGTATCAGGACTTGTCAGCATCCAGAGCACCAGTACGTGTTTTCGTCACTTTGTCATCCACACGAGGCTTATCGAGCTCCTTCCTGGCGGGAGTGGCTGCCGTGTCCAGCTTTACGGCCTCAGTCGTGACTGCCGATTGGCCTACAGGAGCAACACTCTTCTCATGCCCAACCACAATCCCATCATTCTTCGCATCACCATCGTCAGCCCCTTCTCTCGCCTTCATCAGCCTCCACAGGACATGGTCGGCTGCCCTCAGTATCCTACTCCCATCCTCAGCATCCCTCCTCCACCTCTCTCTCTTCTCCTTTGTGTATCTCTCATCTCTGCATCCCTCCTCGAACCTCTTGACCTCAGCCGCAATCTGCCAATGTAACTTTTCAATCTCGCCCATCGAGTACGTCGGTTTGTGCGTTGCGAAGGAAGTCAAGGCTTGAGGGGCGGGTAGCCAGTCGGCGAGGGCATCTGTTCGAGTTGTCATCATGCTGGTGGAGATGGAGGAAGTGGCAGGGGTAGCGGTCGTGGCTATTTCCCAAACAAGCTTGTGCTTGAGCGACATGCGCCAATGGATGAGCTTGACGTCGATTTCATACGCTGCAGCACGAAGGCGATTGTACGCTATGTCGACGACATGGATCTCCTGAAGACGTCGGTGCCGTTCTTCTTCATCCATAGTATCCAGGTGACAGTACTCGTACTGCTGCTGTGCGTTGACAAACAGGAGGTATTCGGCTTCCTTGAGGAGTTCCTGTCTGTCCGCCTCCATGGCTTCGATTCTAGCTTTGGTACTTTGTACGTCAATCTGGCGCAAGTCTTCGGCGTACTCGATGGGTGCAATGTAGAACGGCGGCTGCTCTTCGACAGGTGCTTCAGTGATTGCGGCGGGCGCTTCGCTGCCAGCGAAAGGTTCGCTGGCATGTACTTCTCGATCGAAGACTTCCTCAGGCAGCCATCTTGTGTACCAGAAACCGTTGTGTCGTACGTACTGCTGCATGATAGGATCGAGACTAGTCATCATCTCTGCGTCCCAGAAGATGGCCCAGAACTCGAGTGATCGTCGCTTGAGTTGCCGACCAAGATGTTTATAAGCCTCCTGCCTCTCTCCTGTGTACTGGAATTATGCATGCGCTCCCAGCACACCTGCACAAGCACCGGTATTCATCATGCCCAAACATCGTGTCCATCGTGGTATAGCAGGCCGGCGCATAATCAGCGACGGCACCGAGGCAGCCAGCCCCAATGCCGCACCTGCCAAAGCGCCATCATCCACAGTGTATGACTTTGTACGCTCGTAGAGCTTCCAGTCGTTGATCTCTGGCACCTTTTGCGACACCACCACCTTGGCGAAAGCCGAGTAGTAATACCAGTTGAGCGCCGCTCCTGCCACACCTGTCCAAACCCCCAGTCTGGCTGAAGCCCGTATGAAGACAGCCGCCCTAGATAGCGGCTGCGCAGGAGTTACTCTCTGACTATATCTCGATGCGAAGGACGTATAGGCGGCGGCGACAACGGTCGAGGAAAGCACGGAATACTGGAGGGTCGCATTGGCACCGATGGGATCCGGTCGTTTCGGGACAAGTCGATGTTGGCCTTCACCTGCACGCACCGTCTGATCAGCAACCTCTCCGACTTTGTGTATTCTGCAATGGCATACCAGGCGGCGCAAAGAGTCTCAGCACCATGGCGCCGAAACTACTTGTGCGGTGCGATGCAAGCAACCGGCCATAGGGTCATATGCGAGAAGAGCAATGCCGTCTAGGGGCCGTCGGCGCCTAAGGTTTGTATGCGAACGATCTTCAGACGCCGTCGCGAAGTGGTGTGCAGCTACAGCGAGCGCGTGAACTACCCACGAGGCTATTCATGGCAGTAGGGGTGCGTGGGCAGTGACGGTGAGTGGGCGTGGCTGGGGGTAGTCATGAGACATGAGGCAGACGGATGTCTTAGACTGGCAGCCACAGCGGGCGGCCGCCGGGAAGACGCGTCGCAGGGGGGGCATATCTCATCCTTGCCATGTTCGCATGAAGGACGGAAAGAGGGCTGCAAGGACGCGAGACGCGTAGAAATGGTGTCGTCGGTATGCTGCGCAAGATTGGTGGGTGGGTGTCGCCATGATGCACATCGTCCGGGGTGTGTACTGCGCACGTGAAGACGTGTGGTCAGACGACGATATTGGTCTGGAACCCCCAACAAGATTTCCGCCCCATATCGACGCGACTCGCAGACTGTTGATTGGGTCGTTGGCTGGCTATCAGATCGAGTCTCAACATCTGCCGCAGCATACGACGACACACCTCCACAGGCTAGGCACAAACATGGAATGGTCGATGCAAGCTTCATTCTACAACTCGCTCGCTGAAGGCTGCGCCATACAAGCTATTGCCGTCACCATGCTACTCTCCAACCCACAATCATTACCAGCCACACTCTTCATCCATTACAACGAAGTAGTAGTACCAATTTAGTAACACACGCTATCGGAAACCTCACCCGCTTTTCGTATTGCAGATAAGCAAAGAAACAAAGTGGTAATGCCCAAACGCCGTCGCTAAATGGTGAAAAGCAAGCAAGAACTTACGCAAGGGCCCAACCCACGCTAAGCTACCATCGTAGGCAGCTGCATTAGTACAGGTACAAGTAAAACGAGATAAACGAGAGACCCAAACTTGTAAGGAGAAAAAGAAAGCAAAGAAACTAAAGACAGATCGAAGAAAGCAAACGACATCGTGCTCAGGCCGCCGGTTCACCCGGCCCTAGTATCCCGCCTCTGCATAACAATCTTCGAGTCTTCGCTGCGTAGGAACTCGAAAACGCCAAGCTCGAGCCTAGCCAGCCCGTCCTTGAACAGGTATTCCGACCCCTCGGTGTTCGTCATGACTCTAAATGCCATGCAGAGCAGATCCTCGGGACTCAGTCCATCGATTGAACTCATGTTCTTCCACTTCAGTCGCATAGCCCGGAGATCGTTCATGGCGAGCAAACGATCTACCAGCCCTACGTGCGAGACACCAGGATTCGCCTGCATAGAATGGCGCAACGAGGCGATGGCCTGGCGTTCGTGCAGCCAAGCCGTCAGGATCTTGGAGACGAGGTCAAAGTGTTGAGGAAGCTCGGCGCGGAAGAGGCTCTCACCGTGGAACCAAAGCGTGTGCATGCGCACGAGTAGGGCGGGCTCATCTGGTGGCATCGTGGTGCGTGGGTAGAAGAATGTGAAGAGGCCAGCTGTTACTTCGCATTGGAGGAGCCGGAGGTCGGCTGTGGATGTGGATACGGAGCCCCTAGGAAAGGTCTGTGGTGGCTGGACGGCATGAGCCATTTCTGGTGGTTGTTGCGGTTGTTGGCTTTTGAGTACAGGCTGATGGGGTTGATGAGGTGACGCGTGTTGTGGTGCAGCGGGTTGACTAGGATTTGATGGCAGTCGCTGCCTACTCGATGGTGCTGGAGGTGCTTCTTGTGTCGGTATGAGCTGTATGCCGTACGCTGGAGCGCTTTGTATCGCGGATGCCGATGTGACCTGCTTATTAGGTGCCGTCGCCGGCTGATTAGGTGCGGCCTGCGCAAGTGGTGTACTAGATCTACTGCGGGGATGAGGTGCAAGAGAACGGCCGAAAGGATGGCTTGGGGTATTAGCCCGACTTGGTGGTCGAGGTAGAGGCTGATGTTGAGCCTGAATGTGCGGATGAGAAGGGAGATGCGCATGCTGAGAATGATGCGGTTGAGGTGGTTGCCCATGTGGCGACGCGTGATGCTGATGTGGAGTATGAGACGGTGTCTGTTGTGATCCTTGTGGCTGTGCTTGCGGTGGCTGCTGTTGCGGTTGCGGTGGTTGCGATTGATGTTGTGGTTGTGGAGCAATATGCGCATGTTGAACAGGTTGAACGGCAGGAGACTCCTTCTTCATATGTGCGCCTGCTCCATTAGCTGCTGAAGATGTGCTGACTGCTGAGAATCCTTGATTTGGAGCCGGCGTAGGAGTAGCTGGCGGTGCAGAGCGAGGTGTGTCTGTAGCAGATCGAGCCATTGCCGTACTATGTGAGGATGGCTCGTATGGGCTTGTATAGCTGTTGCTGTGACGATGCCCAATTGGATGAGGAGCTCGATGCACTTCCCTCGAAGGTTCCCTTGTTTGTTCCCGTACTGGTTCTCGGGGTGGCTCACTCGCAGAAGGCGTGTTGTTGACAGCAGTAAAACTTCCAGTGTTAACTGCGGTGAAGCCTCCAGGTGCTGAACTCGTGGAATTCTGCGTGACAGCAGAAGGCCTTGACACGCCGTTCAGGTCGTTGTTTGACAGGGGACTGAGCTGTAATCGAGCGGGCTCGGATGCGGTTCCTGGCGCCGGTGAGAATCGATGGAGAAGGCTATGTGTCGGCATTGGAGGAATGTTCTCTGTGCTGCCTGGACCCGCAGGGTAGAGTGACTTCAGTGACTTTCTTGGACTGCCTTTTCGACTCACGGGCATCGTGCTGTAAGGCCGCTTCACAGGGGAGGCTTCAAGCTCGTCATCGTCAGACATGGTTAGGTGAGCATTGCTCTTGCGCTTCTTCAGATTGATGGGTTTAACTTCAAATTCGGTGGTGGCAACAGTTTCCGGATCTGGTGGAGTGAGTGACTGTGGCGTTCCATGCGGCGACTACCATTGTTAGTCAGGCGACGGCATCAAGGTAGTATCATCACTTACAAGACCCTCGCCATCGATGTCGGCGAGCTGGTCATACTCGTTCGCGCCCGACGGCCTCTTCAGCTTCATGTTGCGGATATAGTAGCACGCTTTGATGATGATCCACCGATGCAAATGGATCTTGAGACTGAATCGGGTTTAGCGCACATCCTGACATTTGACACCTGACATGCTTATCAACACAACTTACATATCCTTATGCTCAGGTTCTTCGTAAAACAGGTCTTTGTTGTACGTCTTCTTGGTCGGGTCTGGTGTAAGTAAACAGCTCCGGTCTGCATCCCTGCCCCAAATAGCGGGTCCGTAACTCGCTAGCAGCTCTTCAAGCTCCTGGTTCAGGGAACTCGGATCCGCTGCAAAATCCAGCAATGCATCTCTTTCTTTTGGTAATTCCTTTGATAGTTTCGTCACCTCACTCGATAACTTGCGGTAGTCTGGGTTGTCGAACTTCGGAATGCCGCGGTTGGTGGTGGAGGAAGACGCGGATAGGCCCAGACCCAAGCATTCCGTCACTTCGCGTATAGTCGGATTATGCGAGCTGAAGACGGAGATCCATCGAGCACGATCCCATCGTCGCACGCCGTGCTCAAGATCCAGGGCCAAGTTATCTTTTGAGCTCATGGCGCCACATGGGTGACGGCAGGTACGTCAACAGTGAAATAGGAAGCAGGAAAACGATGATGGAAAAGTAAGCGGATGGGGATGACAATCAATGGCGCGTGCGCCAAAATGTGATGGATCCGCTTGAGTTCCAAGGTTGGGGTGATTGATGGTAGCTCGCTCGGCAAAGGTAAAAGGAGTACGTTCCACTAAGCCGCCTTGGAACAAAGTTTTCTTATTGCCAGCTGCTGCTACCCCAAAAAAACTTTGTCCAGTCTCAGATGCCGATCGTGCTACCCGTCTAGACAAAGAATCAAAGCCCCTGTACACACAGGAAGAACAAATTGCGATGCAACTGTACACTTGAGTAGGGACGGAAGAGTTTGTTGTGGGGGCGTTGGGCGGCGAAAGATTGATTGGTGATGATGATTGATGCCGGTGACGTGTAGAAGGCGAACGACGGTACGCTGCGTCGAAAAGATACCCAGAAAAGAGGTGCCTAGACGCGAGACAGTGATCCGGCAGGGGCCGCAACAAAACATGTGCAGAGGTAATACGCGTCTGCACTCCGAAGTTAATGACTCGCACGCCAATAAATCCCCATCGAGTGTAATCATAGTACCGCCCCATCCTCATTCGTTCCTACGGAGCGGGCCCCTTCACCCTTGCTTGTTCAAGGTACGACGCTTGCACTATGAGCGAAGTGGTCATTTGCTGGATTATGCTAATCATATCTATCGCAGGGATGCTCATCATACACGAGGTACAAATGAATTTGTCGCTAGCAGCACAACTCTTACTCGCATAGGCCAAAACATCCGATCCTCTTACTCAAAGCCACCATTAGCCGCAACATGCCATGAACGAATAAGCGGCACTATCACTGTTTCGTATAGCCGGGGATACATGTCGTTGGTATCGTGGTCAGGAGTTACAACTACATATGCATCTATGACGCGCTTGTCCTGGCCGTATCTACAGCTAGGTACACTTGTACTACCCAACTTCGATTACTCAACTATGCACCTCACCATTTTGTTAACCGCGGTCGCATGGTATTGATGGGAAGTAAAGCGAAATGTCGTGTCAACGCCACAGCTCGAAAGAAAAAAAATGTGAAGCGATGTGACGAATGTGCGGCGCGGTCACTCCACTCTAAAATAGGAACGTGGCATTAGGGAGATTTACGGCGCAGTGCGGAGCCTGAAGACACGCCCCCTTGGCTGCAGGGAGTAGACTAAGCGAAAGGGTATACTGCGAAGTGCTGCCGAGCCGTGTATTCGTTCGGAAACTAGTTGCCGAACTATTGAACGCTGCTCACACGCGCTCCCTATCCGACCTCGACAAGGCGATCGCAATAAAGCAATTACTTTGTCGCATAGTTTGCCTACGGCATGGTGATGGGGTGAGGCACAGCTGAGCTAGTGTAATCCTACACGGTCCTGTAACATGATCAAGTAGCTGAAACCACTTTACGGCTGACCTACCCGAATAGCTTATTTTCCCGAATTGGACGCCTAGTGGGGCCTCAACCCTGCTGATCGATCGGCACCCTGAAAACCTGAACGCCTGTAAGATCCACGTACACAGATTTTACGACTACACCAGCGCAGCACATGATACGTGCGTATCAGGATAATAGTAATCGCGACTAGCGTCGTGACTCGCCAATATACCAGAGCATACCCTTTCCCTCTTCTTCTTCTTCCTTGCGGAAGCTTTCCAAGTGGTCGTGCAGCCATCCCATGACTTGCGTAAAGTCTACAGGCTTCCACTGCATCTCAACAGCATACTTTTCCCCAGCTAATACCACGAGAGCTTGTCGCAGCAGCTCATCGCGGTCCACAGCGACATTGGGACCGAGACCGAAGCCTTGGCCAATGTCTTCAAAGTTGGCGATGATCGTTTGTGTGCAGCCCATAAGTGTGCGGTGCTGTTGAATGCGGCGCTCAATTTCGGCGGCCGTGTGGCCTTCGGCTGACCAACCTGTGTTGAAGTAAGCATGTGAAAGCTAGATAGATTTCCAGCTGGGTGAGACGTACGGTCGTTTGCTCGTAACAGAGCTGACAGATGTCGCTTCAGTTCCACCCATGTTAAAAATGCTCGTTCCCTGGCGATGAAGACGGGGATGTTCTCAATTATCCTGTTGTAGTCGGCTCGGACGCCTTCTCGCCACGTTCTTTCAAGTTGGTTAAGAAGAGCTTCCTCATCCATTGAGACGCCACGCTCTTCTCCATAGATGTACTGGCGTAGTGCTCGTAAACCATCGTAGTCCAACCCACGATACGATATACTGTTATTTGGCTGTGGTAGCTCTTCTGGTACCCCGTCATCCGACCGAAAGCTTGCGACCAGCGCGGCCATTTGAACACTAATTTGCCGATCAGCAGCAGCTTGGGTCGCGTTTGCGATCTGCTGTTGTACTGCGGCTTTGGTTTCGGTAGAATGTGCGGCTTGGGTGGGAGCAGGTCCTGACAGCGTGCTAAGGTACCGAGATTTGGATGCCTCAGCAGCGAGCTTATTCCAAACACCCTCGACGATACTACTAGGCTGTTGCGAAACCTGCTGTTCGTGTGTTTTCGTGGACGTGAACGCTGCGTTACCATTCGTCGCATGTGCACTGCCGTTGGGAGCTGTGAACCCGGCTCCTTCTCGAGGTCCTATAGTAGGACTCTCTCCAGATTCTGGAGGCGTAAGCATAGCGCTCGATGACATGGGGCTTCCACGTGAGGCTGTGTCGCCATCATGCAACACTGAATTTGGTGCAAGCGCAACAAAGGATGCTGGCGTACCACCCTCTTGCTGACCAGAAAACTCGGCGTCAGCTCGCGCTTGTCGGTTCTCTGCCTTCTTTCTTCTTTCCCGGTCCAGACGTTCGCGCGCAAGAATGACGTTGCATGCTTTCAGTCCGATCCACCAATGGAGGAGTTTGTGAATTCTAGGTGGCGATTAGCAATCGTTCGATTCTATACCAAGGACTCCCAGATAAAGGATTTGCCCTGAGATATACTTACAGTGCCCTGTCCTCCTCGTTTTCAATGTAGAGATCCCTAGGGTAGAGACCTTTTTCAACCCCGGGTTCGTTCGCTGTGATTAGATGCTCACGGTCCCCCACTCTTCCCCAGACCTTAGCGCCATGTTTCTCAAGTAAGCCATCAACCTCCTCTTTCAGACTTCCCTCGTCGCTTAGAAACTTCATAAGCTCATCCGGCTCTTTTGGTAGTGTAGAGACGACATCACCCATATCTGCGACCAGTTCGCGCACCAGGGCGGATTCAAAGTTTGTCTTGCCGCGTTTGTTGGACGACCATTTGGCGCGTAGTCCAAGACGCTCGATCAGCTCGTGCATGCGCACTTTTGATCGATTCTTCATGATGTCCAGCCAGTCCTTGGACGTTGCGTACGTGATAGCCGAGCCGTCCATGATGCCTGGGCTTGATGCATGAATCGCAATATTTCTCCAGGTAAGCTGAGTGTAAGCTATCAATGCTTCTGTAAGTAGTCGTATGAGCACCGAGCGCCGTGGCTTCGCAACTTTGCCGGGGAGCGTGATGTGTAGTGCTGATTTTCTCGGGTATGATTACATACAGATGCTCTCAAGACTGCGGGAGGACGATGGTGCAATCTTGTAAACAGGCCGCTCAGAGCATGTACGAGTCAGCACTATGGTGTGCAAGGGAAACGAACAGCATTCCGAAGATGAAATGAGAATATGATAGATGATAAGAGTACAGATGAAGAAACCATAGCGTATGAAAGCTTCGTTTACAGGGTTAGCGGCGCCCACCTGGGGATGGCAGGCGGAACCACAGGGCAATTCTTGCCGATTGGCTGAAATGTGGCGTTAGTACGACGATCGCCCCCGAACACTTACACAATGTATTGTGCATATTGCTGTTCTTCTGCGACTTGCATGTGTGTTCCAGTCCGCTACTAATGGTCGTCGTTGATGAGTCTGAGCTCTATGGATACTTTGCGCTTTTCTCATAGCCTGTTTCAGCACCAGGCATCCGCTGAGCGATAGCGGGCTTTTTCGGTTTCATGCATGCGACGCGGAATCATTGCGTTGTGGCGCCTTCCGCGGCGTAAACATGTCTAAACAAGAGCATTTCAAGACTATGCGGCGAGACCCGTGCAAAGGTAGAACTGGATTCTCTAGACGTACGTACATTCAACTGCATCTACACAGCACCACCAGGGCACACCAATATTGTGCAAATACGTTTCCGACAATCAAAACTTCTGACCAATCCGCTCAACAAGGACCATAGGCATTGATCCGGGGTATATGTAACGCAACGCAAAACGCGGTCAACACACTTTGCAGTGGTATCCAGATGTTGGTCAAAGGGATAGAAAGCACGCTTGTGGGTAGATCAGAATCCGCAAGGGTAGGAAGAGGCGCTGTCGCTACCTGTCGTTTGATGTCGCTCACACAGGATCCGATCTGCTCAACGACTTGAGTTCGATATCGATCTTAGCATTAGGATTCTCTTGCCAGATAGAAGCCTGGGCAAGTGTAAGTTGCAGACGATCGAACGCAACTTCAGTGCCTTTACGCAGCACGACTGCTTTATTGGGACCGTTACCGAGACGGTACGTCAGTCGCCAGACGTTCGTTCTGCTAATCATGCTGGCAGCAGATGGGATAGCCTCAGCATCCTCCTCCAAAAGTCCAAGCAAACCTCCGAATGACTTGCACTCGACCAATGCATGCACGAATTCATATTCAATATCATCATCAACTACTGTCCAGATGAAGCAGATTCGCGCAGCTTGCTCATCGGTCAGGTCAAGAGATATGACGTTCGAGAAACTTGCAACACTGGTAGCTTGAGATGGAGGCCTCGATGGCGCTGGTGTTATCGAACCATGATGCTTTACATCATCGGCAGGAGTTGGGGTCCTTTGGGGTGTTTGTTGTGGCCGTGGTGGCGACTGCGGTGGCGGCGGCTGCGTAAGGTCAACACTGCAGCCTGTAGGACTTTCTCGTAGTGTTTGTTGTAGCGGCGGTGGCGACTGCGGTGGCGGCGGCTGCGTAAGGTCAACACTGCAGCCTGTAGGACTTTCTCGTACAGGCTCAGACTTGTTCGTGGCACTGTCGCTGACCTTGCGCCGTTTCCGCGTTGCAGGCTCATCGATTCGAGCATCGCTATCATCAACGTGTGCTTTACTCATGACAGGCGGTGCCAGAGGTGTGGCATCCACATCAGAAAGTTTCGATAGTCTGGGAGTAGAGGAAAGACGTTTGTCATGTGTTGGCAATTGTTTTAACTTCAAAACAATATCGGCACGCTCTTTCGGTGGCAATACTGTGAGAACGGTTTCCAGTGTTCCAGCATCGCTGTCAGGGTTACGGAGAGTGAGCATCATGTAATTGTTAACAAATTTGTCTCCTGTGCCGCCATTGGAAAGCTGAATGTGTTCAAACAGCATGTTAGTGTATGTTTCAAATAAGTCTTATAGGCATAAGACTTACTTCGTAAGGACGAAAGGATTGGAGACCATGTAAAGACCTATCACTCTTTTGAGGAATCATGATTGCGAAAACTCCAGCATCGTCGTCGCCATCGAGAGGCATGACCACGACCTTCTGTATCTCGTCAATACGATGGCCTGATGACTCTGTAGCCGATCTGAGTACAACTTACGCCGTTCTTACCGAACTGCACCTCGCTTAGAGCAATGAGAGCCGACTCGTCCCTGGCACAGCCTCGGCAGATAGCGTTGCGATTCTCCCTGGGAGAACCCTGAACTATTGGAGGATATGGTGGGCTGAACTTGCTGTAGTTGACCTTGAGAAGGTGGAAAGAGGGCATCCCGCGAAATGACTCGTTTTGCCTTTCGGGAGCCAAGTAGCCAACCCAGACACCTCGTTGAAAGAGCTGGTTTGCGGAGTAGAAGTGGCCTTTCAGGTGAGGTTGCGAGCTAAAGCAATCGTACGCGGTGGTAGGACAGGCGTTTCGAGCCTGTTCATGGAGGGACGTGTCGAGCGCACGCAGCCCAGGTGACATCATGGGCGAAGTTAGTCCGCTCGACACGTTACTACGTAACGGCAGCACGTCGTTCTCCAGTGTTTGTGCTTTTGAGGTGTCACTTGTCACATTTGAAGGGATTTGTGACTGGATCTCGCGATCAGGCTGAGGGCTGGACTCGTCGAGGCTGGAGTCGCGTACGCGCTTAGAGCTTGCTGATGGATTTCTCAACACGGGCGTGCGCACACTCTTTCGAGCTCTTTGAGGCTGCACCGGCATAAGAGGCTTGCGAGGTGACATCCCGACGGTTACACGACAGCGACCGTTTGGAGTAGGCGGTGATGGTTCGCTGTTGTTCTGACGTATGAGGGAAGGAGCCTTGTCGGCAGCCGGCTAGCAGGCCACGCCTGCATGGCAGGCAGGGGTCCGATTGGCCACCTCACCTAGTGACATCTCGCATCCCGAACAACGCGAGATCTTTCTTCAATTAATCTCACATATACTCCACTCTACGTACGACAAGCGAATACCTTAAGCGAAGAATCCTTCACTACGCAAGAAGAACAGAACAGCTTCTGATGCAAGATCAAGACATTTGAGAACGAACCACAGAAAAAGTCTGCAGCTGTTCGTGGCAAGCTTCCACGGACAACCGCAACACTCCTATGCCTCTGCGATAGCATTGTTTATGTGCGAAAATGGGAAAGAAAAGAGCTGACCGTGTTGAACTTAACAAATACATCCAATCTCTTGGATTGGAGACTTATGGGATAGATCCCAACCACATAGTAAGAAACCCAATGTCCAACTACAGGCCAGTCTATGCGCTATATACAGTTGGACTGCAGGCTCTTTTCGGTTTATTGATGCGCCATCAGATACAGGATAATCTAATTGATCCATCAGATCCGAATTCGCTTAGCAAAAAGATAGACGAGTTTCTAAAGAAGGACGGTCCCATGATATGGCCTGAACCAGGTCCTGGAGAAAAACGTCATCTGCTCAAACCGCAGGACGGTATCAGCTATGTCCGCGATCTGATCTATCCGCGAGACAGCGTCATGTGGGTTTCGACTATCGATGGCTACGATACGCGCTAATGAGGTCAGCCTGAAAGAGCGCCTGCTGGCCATCTTGCTTTGCCAGGGAGCCAGCTCTGAGACAGACTCGGAGTTTGATCCTGACGACACAATCGCTGTGGACATATTAGGAACGAAGAGAGGCGACTTTGACAAGATAAACGACGAGACTGCTAGTCAACGCACAGAATCTGAAGAGGGAGAAACGGATAACAATTTTAATGAATCTGAAGACTCAGTATTGGACAGCAGAATAGCATGTCAAGCTAGCAATCGGAACACGAATCCATCCGACCCTGCTTTCAAGGTTGAGCTGCGACTTTATCGCAGCAAAAAGCGACGCGCTCTAGTCGGCCCAGGCACAACTTGGTCCTACGCAAACCTGATGCTCACGGAAGGAGCCAAGTCATGTGAGGACTTATTTGTCCTCATATGCGACGAGATCGAGGCTGACTGCAGCTTTGTCATCTTCCACTTGCCAGAAGATATGTCTATGGAGGGTTCGGTGCGCATCGATCGAGAATCTAGAGAATCTGAGTTGTTATTTCGCCGCATCCGATCTATCCTGCAAAGAGCAAGGAGATTTCCATGCGGTCCTTTGCGTCGTTCAGTCGAGGTAGAAGTCGGCTTAGGAACTGATTAGCAACCTAGAAAACATCACGTATTTCAAACCTCTCTTCGTATCTCTCTTCGCATCTCCGTTTGTCACGCACACCGCTTCGCAAATGTAGTTGGCCTTTGGTATATCCCCTTCCTAATCTTGACGCAACATCGCTCCAAAATTGAGTAGATACTTAAGCCCCTCAGCTCCGACACAGCAGTTTGACTAGATCACATAGCGAGACAGGATTGTGTATTTTTGAATTGTGTATTGTTTGGATTTTCTATGACATGACATCATTATCTGTCGTATAGTTATTGTATCCATTCCTTTTTCTTCGGTTGTCCATGCATGTTTCAGTCGTAACTACCGATCTCGATCTACCCTTCTCTCATCAACAAGCACACTCCAGTTCTTTTGCACACTAATTCCTCCTGTCGCAGTCCTCTGTGCACTGTCGTCGCTTGCCCTCCTGCCCATCTCGATCTCAACGTTATGCTCCCCCTGCCTATCGTCATCAACAAACTTGAACTCCTCCTCATCCTCAACTCGACTAATGCCCGCCAGTGTCGAGAACAAGCCTCCAGTAGCGCCCTTCTTCCTCGGCCTCCCAGAGTTCTTCAGGTTTGACCCAAAGTCGTCCATAGCTCCATGCGAGCTCGGTCCAGGCGACCGCATATCCGAGGGGCGGGAAGAAGCAAAAGAAAAGAGTCTATCAAGGCCGATCCATCTGAAAGCGGGTTTCAGACTAGGCAAACAAGCACATGTGAGACCGACGTTGACTTCAACAATAGACCATACGATGATCTCGCGGAAGTTGTAGGTGGGGTCGACTTGACCCGAGATGGGGATCTGCAGGAAGATGATCAACCGTACGAGCGAGACGATGGCGATGAAGGTGCCAAGGGCGAACATGCCCGCTAGAACGATGCGTTGAGCAATTGGTGCGTGCAGGCGCCAGACGTGCGGAAGAGGCATGCCGACGATGATGAAGTCGAGGATCACATTGGGCACCGAACCGCCGAGGTAAATGTCGCGGGTCTGAATGCATTTTCCGTTCGCGATGGTGATGTCCCAGGCGGCCTGTATGGGGTAGCAGTTGAAGATTACGCAGCCTAGCTGTGAGGGATGTTAGCTGTATGCGATCGGATTCTGAGGCATAGGTTCAGCTTACAATAGCGATACACCATGCGATTGACGCTGCAGTAACAACATATATGAACTTTCGGGATTTGATCTCAAACAGCCGCCAGTAGAAGGCTAGGACGGAAAGCTTGATAGTTGTGATGCTCAACGTATAAAGGATCTGGCCGATGTAGATGTTCCGTAGGAAGGCGATGGCTTGTAGCGGGTTGGTGATTTCATACATGTGTAGTCCCAATGACTCTCGCATGCCTGATAAGCACTTGATGTTAGCCTACGGCTCATATGGTGAGATGGAGCAGGACGTACCAATGATGCACACGTAGAAGAAACCGTTAGCCACGGCCAGTGCTACCATAGACATATAGTCGTCCATCTGAACATTACGCCATCCCCCGTGTCGCTTCCGGCAGTAGACCTTAAGGGGGACGAGTAGCATGATTAGGATGTACGTTGAGATAGCCACGCCATCCAGACGACGGCGGTAGGACTGGCTGGAGAGCTTGTCAGTGACATGTTACCCAATGTACTGTTTTCTGGTCGTGATATGACATGGGTTGAGTGAACCGCGGAGACTGAGTGTAGAAAGGGTCCAATAGCGATGATGGGCGAGTAGACAGGATTGAATTACTTACAGGCTCTCCTGTGGATTGATAATCGGTGCCATGATGCACAAGTTACACAACTCTCATCTATCCTTCGCAAGTACACCAGGTATCACGAACAAAGAGGAGCAAGAGTCGCCGTGGCGTTGATAATGATGCACGAACACGAAATACAAAGCAGTGCGGCACACCAAGTCATGATATACAATGTCAAGACGAGGCCTCCAGGCGAAGAAGAAAACCTTTCTCACATCCCAGCGCCCTGACCAAACTCCCCAGATGTTCCCAATCCACTTACCACTACCGCCGCACCCTGTCGCGGGATCCCCTTTAGGCCCCTTCAAACCCATGACGTGCCTTGCTTCTTTTGCTAATGATCGGCCAATGCGAACGCAGAATTAGGCGATGATAAGTCATAATCCGAACATCTGCGAGGGTCTTCTGGAGCTGTTGGACAAAGTATAAAGCACGGAAGCACTAAAGTGATGGCACTGACACACGGGGATGACTTGGGAAGTGGAGCGTCGTTACAGGTCAGGGGGTCCCTGTCGGCCTGAGTCCCGCTCGCTTTCACGTGTGAGTGGTTCGGGTGGGGTCGTTACGGGACTCATCCTCTAACGGAGACGGCGTGCGTGCTATGCGGGAACGAAATAGGAATCCGCTCCACAGTGGTCATCCATGGATATTTCAACATCACCCACACTCTCGTTGCGAAGCGAGTCTGAAATACTGCAGCAGTGTAATTAGTCTACCTTCAGACCGAGAAAAGAAATAAGAGCATATTTGTTTATGTGTTTCCGCGGGGTTTGATCGGTGTCTGCCGAGGTGTAGCCAAACGCGAGAGCCGCGTACCCAAAATTCGCACAACAACCTACCGTCGATCAAAATGCTCCGGGGTAACCGTTGCTGTATAATTGCCGAGCTGTTCATTGCCGGAAATGGTCGGCCTAGGCAAAATTATCCCATCCTTGGTGTTGAGCATGTGCCTGGCCGTCATTTTGGGCATAACTGGTTTAGCTCCCTTGCCCATTGCGAGTCAGAACGAGGCTACGGCTATGAAAAACGAGCCAATTGATGGCAAAAATAACCGATAACGAATTTCCAGGCGTGATGCGGCTTGCATTCACGCGCAGTATCGTCGTCCACCTTGTGGCGTTTATTCCTGCGGTATCGCGATTATGTTATGCATTGCCGAATCCTTTGGAAACGAATCGCCGGTCGGTGATGCGAGACTGTGCCGCAACGTGGGCGCAAGCATTGTGGTGGGTGGCGTACGGACCCGACGTTCTTGTTGGTTGAAATGGCCGTTTGCCAATCAAACAAGCGTGTATGCACAGTCAGGATCGCGGAAGCGGAAGCCGCCTCACACGCTGCCAGTAGCCAGTGGATACAGAAGCCACACACGCCGTTGTCTTGGTAGTTTTAGCACTGTAGCGAGGAGTCGAGAAACTGGAAGAGCCTGTCAAAAACGTGAGGGCTCCTTCCCCCCATTAGGTTATTGTCTCAAACCTGACCAGGGCAAATGCACTGCGACTTCCATGGGGTTAGCGGAGGACCCACCAGTCCGGGCAACCGGCAAATATGCCCTTGACCAATACGACAATCCAGGAACCACATCTACGCTTACATCAAACAAAACGAAAACTCGATGATGCGGCGCGATAGTGGCGCTGGGTAAGTAAGCAGTCACAGTTGTCTGCTAGTCGAAGTGTAAGTCAAGGATAGCTGGTGCGGGAGGTGCGGCTCGCCATCGGCCCTTCGACTAGCCCAACCGAAAAGCAAAACTCCACCTTTCAGTGTCGTTTTTGACAGGCGGGGCGGCCTCTAGTCAGACCTAAGGGCTTACTAACATATCAGGAAACCAATCAGCGGGCACTAATATGGGTACTGTAAGTGCCAGAGACCGCGGAGCACGACGTAAGACCATGCCTGTGATTGAAAAGTCGGCGATCACAGAGAGGCGTACAAGAGACCCCACGCCCTGCATCTCGCTTTCGGATTCTTGTTAACCTTTCCTTCTTTTCTGATTGAGCCAAAGGTGCATGATGGCATTCCACGATACCAAAGGCGATGGGTCCTCCTATCCAGGCCTTCTCCTTTTGTCATCTCTCTTAATATCGACGTACGTAATTGTCACTGGTATCTATCGCCTCTATTTCCATCCACTCGCAGCCTTCCCTGGGCCGTTCTGGGCTCGGGTAACTGTATTTCCGTCATGGTGGCATACTCGCACTGGCGACCGACACATTTGGTTGTATCAATTGCAGGAGAAGTACGGTATGGCGACGTAATCTAACCTACCAGACCCGGCTAGTTGCTGATGAGCAACAGGTCCTGAATTTCGTTATCGTCCGGATGGTGTTGTACTCAACACTCCTGCTGCTTTCAAGAAGATCTTCGGACCGAAAGGAAATGTCAAGAAGGCTGTCTACTACGAAGTGTGGCCACGCAATGAGCACACAATCAATACGTGGAGCAGCACCACCGTTAGTGTCCATGCACGCAAGCGTCGTGTGCTGAACTACGCGTTCTCGGAAGCAGCGTTGCGAGATGCTGAGGTCTTCCTTCACCAGAACATTGATCGATGGCTAGAGCTACTGGGCCAACAAGCGCCCAAAGATGGCGAGTGGACCACGTCAGTCAACATGTGTGACTGGATGAACTGGCTCGTGTTCGATATCCTTGGTGACTTGTGCTTCGGTAAAAATTTCAACATGAAGGAGCCAGGAAGCGACCTGCGGCATATCCCAGAGGTTATGGTCTCATTTTTGGAGCTTCTGCATCCAGTAAGCTCCCGTCTCGGATCATGCGTTGATCGACCGAGCTAATATTCGGCAGGTTGCATTCGGCCCGTTAGCCAACGCGTGGGTATGGCTCAAGCCTCGCGGTCTTAATAAGCTAATCGAACTCGCCTCACCACCAGTAGTCGTAAACTGGCAGAATTTTGTTGGGCAGTGCCTCGAAAACCGAGTCAGGGATGAACAGGAACTGGAGAAGAATCCCAAGCCCGATGGTGAGATTCGAAGGGACTTCTTCCACTGGCTGTTCAAAGCTGTCGATCCGGAGACCGGCGAGCGCGGCTACGATCAAAATGAGCTCTTCGCGGAGTGCGAGTTGCTGATTGTAGCTGGTTCTGATACGACGTCCGTTGTACTCTCCGCGGCCTTCTTCTACCTCTCTCGCCGACCGGATGTACAAGCTAAGATTGCCCAAGAGGTTAAATCGATCTTCTCAAGCTACGATGAGATCACATCTGGCAGCAAGATTATGTCCTGCAAGTACCTCACAGCGTTCCTTCAGGAAGCTATGCGCATGACACCACCAGTCGCAGCCGAGCCAAGCCGTGAGGTACTCCCTGGTGGAACAACAGTCGGTGATCACTACTTTCCGGCTGGTCTCCATTTGAGCACTGGTCTTTACTGTCTCAGCTACAACTCCAACGTCTACCCGGAGCCTTGCAAATTCCGCCCTGAGCGCTGGATCGTAGACGAGACTGGAAAGGAGGGCTCCTCAGCCGAGAGCGTTAGACTGGCAGAGGATGGATTCTGTGCTTTCTCCTATGGAACCCGAGGCTGCGTCGGGAAGAACCTTGCCTGGCTCGAGATGCGTCTTGTTATTGCCAAGACACTCTGGATGTATGACATCCAGGCCGATCCAAAGAGCAGAATTGGTGGGGGCGATCGGCACGGAAAGCCTGGACGACAGACTGAGGATCAGTACCAGATTTACGATATTTTCGTGTCCGGGAGGAAGGGACCGATGCTGCAGATGCGAAGGAGGCAGTGAAAACTAGGCTGAGTCGTATTCAACCAGAGACGCAAGTAGAACCTGCAGTACTGAGTCAGCCAATAACGCACGTTGAGTTTACCTGAGAGCATACATAACCTGCGTATGCAAGTAGGGGTCGCGACACTTTACTTGCTGGCGAACAAAATATGATGTCAGTGGTCGTTGGATTTACCCCTTCAATTTTCGCCGAGGAACTAGTCTACTTTGGGTCACTCTGATTATTCACCCCACCTTCAGTCCACACCACCATTTTCCGACACCGATCTTTCGACACCGATCGCGCGCTCGAAGCGCACTCATCTGTACGGCGTTACAAGCTTGTCAACCACTTCTCTAGCGCCTTCTCATCCACATCCCTAAGCCACTGTTCCGTGGTGCTGCGAACCTTATCTGACAGTCTTTTATATTGATCTTCGTCACTCATAAGCTTGTTGACGACGCTCGCCCAGGGTGCGACATCCTGGTTAGGAACAATGTATGCGCCTTCTTCGTCGCAATCCCCGTTCATGGTGTTGACTGGGATAGCGTGGTCAAGTCCGAGCATGGACTCAGGAAGTGCGCCTGCATTAGAGGAGATGACGGGAATACCACGAAGGTGAGCTTCGACTGTCACAATTCCCTAGGCTTCAAACCAGAGGGAGGGGACGAGAAGCAGTTTGATTTTCCGCCAGAGTTCATCTGTATCTTTGCATGTGGGGCGAATGCTTCAGAACATTAGACGAGCTTGTTTTCCGAAAGTGTGGCTCGCAATGATGAACTTACATGGTGTTCTTCTAGGCTTGCATCTGCCGGCCACACTTGTCATCAAAGCCCCAACTCTTATAGGCCAGGAACTTGTGCTGTGGGCAGGATTTGGCAAGACCAACCAAAATCTGAGCGCCCTTAACAAGACAGGGATTGATCATACCGATGAACTTCTTGTTCCAGTTGACGAGACGCAAAGGCAGCTCTTGATTTCGCTCTTCGAGGTAGGTCCACGGATGATGTGCGAAGAAGCTGGTCTGAAGCTTCTTGTGATCGATTGCGTATCTTTTGATGGCTTTGGAGACGCTCCAGATACCATCAAGCTCTTGGAGGAGTTTAGACTCGTGCGGCGAGCTCAACATGCCAGGCATGCCACCAGCGAAAGTTCCAAAGGGGAGTTGCTCAGCCGTATGTATGACAGCAATGCGACGGGCGTTGATTCGAAGCATCTGCAAGGCCGAGGTAGCTTGCATGGATAAGCCATCGTTGAAGATGATGTGTGTAGGCGAGAACTTGTTGATTTCGTCTTGTAAGAACGAGACAAAGTCATATAACCGTGCTGACAATATTTCAGTCTAGTCGGCACGAGGGTTAGAACATCAGATTTCACAAGTCGAACTTGAGGGGAAAAAAACAATTCAGCTTACTTCAATGTAGCGTGCTGTCTCCCTAGGCATTGCTTTGTGTAGGTATTCGGTACCGCCAAATGTCTCAACAAAAGCCTCCTTCTCCAACGCCAAGTACTGGACGCCATCTTCCATAACAAGCTCATCAACTCCAACATCAGTTCCATCTTCTCCGTATCCACATCTCAGATGCAGCTGCCTCTTACGAAGCTGCAGATCGTGCCCGCCACTCTTAGCCATAGTCCGGACAACTGCATCTGCTTCGCCGCGATGCGAGTAGCACAGTTGGCGGACCGAATGCCCCTGGGAGGCGAGATAACGTAACAAGCATATGTTGGCCTTGTATCCACTTGAAGAGGAGAATAGACCCTTCGCAGTCTGGACGAGGAAGACTCGCATCTGGGTCTGGCTCAGGCTAGGGGCGGAGGAAATTGAAGAGCTTCTCGAAGAAGCGGAAATGTTCGACTATATGTCCGAGTGGTGCGACATCATGATTAAGTATAGAAAACTCTATAGAAACCAATACAGCTCAAGAGTAGAACAGGTTGAGTAGACGACAGTTGAGGAACGAAATTTGATGCATCAAAGAAGGAGTCCATGTAAGCCACGATGGAGGCAAACAATATAGGGACATTGGATTACAAGTGATGCATGAACCAGCTCAGTCATACGTGACTCATGACTTTATGCGTGATGTGCAATTGATTCTTAAACTGATCAATCTTTGTATGGGTACATGCCGCCGCGCTCCCCAGAGAGGTGACGATCTGGGTGAATAATTATTGCGCAGGCCTTTTCATACTCATTAGATAACAGGGGTGTGATAGACCGCGCGATCTGTGGCTGAATTGGTAGAGTGCCAAATGGAATAATGTTTTCTACTAATGTTGAACGAGATCAATTGACAGCCATCTGGGACATAGAGGCGATTCACTAGCACCAGCACCATCATCACTATTGATACGACTGTAGAAGTACCTACGGGTGCTGTACCATCCTGGAGTAACTTTGTACTTATATTATCTAAGCTGCACCATGCAGACGAGCTGCAGACTACCTAGGCAGGAATGTATCTTATTGCCCTAGGAGAATTTCTTGAGCGCTTTCGTCTACTAGACAGCAAAACTTCACTACATGATATCGTATCCATACTTTGAACAGATGCTGAGAAACTGGAAGATCCCAAGGCTCTTCTATCAGTGTGAGAGTGACGATATGTCTTGAGGTCGGTTGATGTTGGGTCGTTTCAAACGTCAGGGCCCAATTGATGTCAGCAGCATGTCAACGTCCGCAACATCATGAGATAAGATGGTTCTAGACTCTCAGACTGTAAATGAGTCACAGAGCTAAAATTTCTCACGATATCTGTAAGAATCAGTCGTACGCGACACTAAGACATGATGTTAGAATGACCACAGCCTGACCTATGCGTTGTGAACTTCTCAGGCTCCTAGGGCCACTTCATCATGGATACCCTGACTTACTTTTTGAGCGCTGCGTAACTGAGTTGTCAGCTTGACAAATTCCGCATCAAATATCATTCTAACGTAGCCTCCAGAGTTGTTGAGATTCGACCAAATTCGAGAATGAAAACATAATGGTGGAAGCATGACGATGCGAGTCGGTCTGCAAGGGACGAACTAGTTCTGTTCATAGCATCAAGATCACGCCGAAATGAAAACATGATATCGAAAACAAAACGCCACAATGAAAACTAGTGATGGTTCTGCTGGCTATAAGTTATACGAACACCGTGATGACCATCTGACAAGGAACTCTCAAACGATATCGAACGAACATAGCAACTCTGTGAATTCAATATTAAATAACCATCTTATCCCTGGAAGAGTAGTAGAATCTCACAATGGCGGAAGTAGCAAAGTATACCTCCCGCCTACAAATCAATACCCATAGGAAGGCTGACCTTTGGTCAAAGACCAGTTTACACTACCGCGTACAAGCCCCATCCCAGTGAGAAGATGAAGGCAGCTCTCTGTACTGGGGCAAAGTCGATCGAGCTAGGCGTTGTCGCCAAACCCATGATCACTGCACCTAAGGATGCTATTGTGCACATTACCCATTGCAATATATGCGGATCTGATCTGCATATGTATAACGGCGATATGAACAGTGTCATGGAGAAGGGGATGATCATGGGCCACGAGGCGATCGGCATTGTCGATGAAATTGGGCATGAAGTCAAAGACTTGAAGGTAGGAGACCGAGTCATTATTTTGCAGGTCATTGCATGTGGGGAGTGCTTCTACTGCAAGCGCAAAGAGTTCTCCCTTTGCGACCAAACCAACCCATCACATGAGATGGAACAACTGTACGGACACCGTCTCTCCGGTATCTTTGGCTATTCCAAAATCACAGGTGGATACCCTGGCAACCAGGCTGAGTACTGCCGCGTCCCTAACGCAGATCTTGTCAGCGTCAAAGCCCCCAAGGATATTCCCGCTGAGAAGCTGGTCGGTCTTGCGGATGTGACCCCTACTGCATGGCATGGGTGTGAACTTGCGGAAGTGCGCAAAGACGATATTGTTGGCGTCTGGGGCTGTGGCGCAATTGGTCTCCCGATCCAACGTTTGTCCAAGCTTCGTGAAGCCCGAACGGTCTACGCCGTCGACAAAGACGTCAACCGACTCAAGATTGCAGAATCTTTTGGCATGATCCCCGTCAATGTCAATGAGCATTCGGATCCGGCGGACTATGTTCTTTCCATTGAACCGCATGGCCTCAACCGCGGTATTGAGGCAAGTGGCTTCAGGAGCACGAACTCGGTCGTCCATAACACCATGAGGAAGCTAGGTATTGAGGGCGATAGCTCGGATACTGTGAGCGCTGTGATCAAGGCGACGCGCAAGGGTGGAAACATCGCTTTGATTTGCGATTTCTTCTACTCGACCAACAATTTTCCGATTGGAATGATGATGGAAAAGGCGATTACCGTACGTGGTGGGCAGCTATACGCCGAGAAGGAAAAATCCCTGTTCCTATGAATGATACCTTGCTGACCGTTGATCCGAACTCTGTAGTATTTCCCACTCCTTCTAGACTTCGTTGTCAAAGGCCAATACGACCCCTCGTTCGTGTTCACGCACAAGGATAAGTTGGAGAATATCTCGGAGGCTTATGACAAGTTATCCAATCATGAAGTACCCGGAGGGCTAAAGGTATGCATTTCGACTCCCTTCGGCCGATCCCAGGAGGGTTAGAGATGGGGGCTGTGATGGAGAAACTCTCGAGAAGAGGGTCCAGTTTACAAGGATGTAGGGTGGTACAGCCCAAGTAGAAGATGTTCGTCTAAGTCGCGATCGAATTCATTTCTGGATAGTCGTTGCCAATATATTGTGCGTCGTTGGTGGTGTTGCACAGCCTGGTGTCTTGATGTCGCTGTGTAAGACTTGCTGTCGCAGTCAGCACCTGCCGCCCGAGCGACTTTGCGTCATTGGATTAGCGGGGCACTGACAAGAGTAGCTTCTAATCTCTCCAACCTCTTCCACTTCTTTTCCTTCTCCATCTACTCAACACCAACATCGCCGGTTTCGCATCCCATCGTTCAGCCGCGTGTGTGCCCAATACGACGTTATGATGTTTTCAGCCCCCATTGCAAGCCACCGGCATGCCATACACGGCAATAGCAGGCGAAAATCGAACGCCCTGCGACTGAAGCGGCACAGCGCCATATTTTTAGGTCAGGCCGCTCGCAATCGTTGACTACTTGGTCTGTGTGATAGCGTCGTAGTTTGCAAGGTTGGAATGTACACTGCTATATGACCTCTGTGCCTCCACGGCTACCACGGGACTCCTCATCACCATATTCCTGACGCCAAACCTCATCAGTCTTCGTACTCAACCTCGAGTTACGCGAGCCGATCAACACAAGGCTGAGCGGCTCGTAACGCCCCGCAACGCCAGCGCGCCTCCAAGGCAAGGCGAGCTTGTTTCCACGACGTCTACTGGATTTGGCCGGACTGCAGCGCGCAAATTGCCTCGGAAGAGAATTCCTGCCTGAATACTTCTGGGGAGGCCCCCACGAGCGCATGTTAGTGTGATGGAACCAGGCTGACCGGTGCGACGCACAGGCTGCAGGGTACTGTCAGCCGTGTGCAACATCCTGTATGATTTGGTGACTTATCGCGTTTCTTGTTGTTCCTGCTCCTCTTCTGGCCTTGTTTCCTTTCACCTTGCAATTGCTACGAACTACGAACATTGAAGTACACGCTACAAACGCCAGCGCACGCGGCGCATACACCATTGAACATGCGTTCACCAGATGTGGAGGAAGTACCGCCTGCCCTCCAGATTGGCTCTCCTACAAGCACGAGAAGACCGTCTGATATCACAGTCCCTTCTGCTTTGCGCGTTGGTTCTCCAACGAGTGGTACCCCACCATCTCATGCTCGTCCACCACTACGGCGTAAGAACACGTCCGGCGCCTCGGACAGGCTTTCGCAACTCTTCCCGTCTCGTCCTTCCTCTGTCGCCTCGGTCGCATCTCCTAGCAGCAACCCTGCGTCAAGACGACAATCGTTTCCCTCGCCTCTGCTACCGGCTTCAGAACCCTCGTATCGTATACCCCGCGCCCCGGCGCCACCGTCTTTTGCCCAAGAAACGTCATACAGCCCTGTTGCAAGTGTCTTCACTCAAGATCGCGCATCACCATCGTTGGGTAAGAGCGATAGTAGGACGAAGCGTGTCCTCAATCGAATCGCATCGCTACGAAGAGGAAGCCCGCTCAATGGATACTACAACCGGCTAGATGATGAGGAGTCACGGCCAAATGGGAGAAGACTCAAGGAGGTCGAGGAGGCAGATGAAGCAGTCGGATACGACCTGACCTCGCTTGGCGGTCTGCCTATGAAGGCATTCGAGGCACAATCGAGGGAACAAGGCACACGTACAGCGCGAGAAGGCGACCACAATATTGACGAAGCTGGGCATGCCGCAGAGTATGAAAGACTTGAAGCGCAATTAGGAGCTGGCATGACTTCGGTACTCCACAATCCATTCACCCACACTCCGGCTGGACCAGTACCAGGCGACTTTCCGGGCCACCGACGAATACTGTCGAAAGCAGATGTAGCAGACGAGCAGGCGAAGAAGGCACAGGACAAGGCCACGAAGACTGGCCAAGTGGTTGCTGTCGCTACGGATGTTCCAGTCGACATCAGCGAATTCGCAGGGGTTGCTCGTGATTTCGACTCCATGAATAGCTTAACGGCTGAAGCTGGGCTCATCCGAAGCGACGCGCAAACCAGCTACTTCTTCCCAGAAGGTGACTCTCTCGTACAACCGTTCATCCACAGAAATTAACATAAAAACAGATCCCCAAATGCCTACATGGCGCCCTCTTACTATGAGCTCATGGTGGATCTCCATTCTCGTCATCCTCGCACTTGCGCTTGCTGGTGTACAAGAATTTTTGTGCCAAAAATCGCTAAAATCAGTCAAGGATCATGGCAAAGACGGGGGTCTGATGGTTTTCGGGACGGTAGGCGAGTTGACTGTCACGCAATATTTCACGTGGCAGTACGCACCTATCATCATCTCAGTCTTTTATGGTGTTCTCTGGCAGATGTCAGATTTCGAAGTCAAACGTCTAGAACCATTCTATCAGTTATCCAAGAAGACAGGCGCAACTGCGGGTGAGTCTTTGAACATGGACTACCTGACTTTCCTGAGTTTCCTGGTACCGCTGAGGGCACTGCATCACAGACAGTACGCAGTCATTTACAGCTCCCTGGGCACATTGGTTGCAAGTAGCCTGGTACCGGTCTTACAAAGTGCCTCCATGAGCATGTACCCCGATGAGGAGCTACGTGACTCCGATACAGTGAAGTCTGTCAGAGTCGAGCCGATCTGGTCCAGAGCGCTTTCGGCATGTCTTTTGATCGTTGCTGGGTGTGGTTGCGCACTGATATACGCAATGCAACGGAAGAGCGGCTTGCAGTCAGATCCTAAGGGCATCGCAGGCATCGCAGCCATGGCTACCAAAAGCCATATTCTTGCCGATTTCAAGGGACTCGATCAGGCATCTTCGAACCAGATACACAAGCAACTTCGTCAACGAAGATACATTTTGCACAAAAGCTCACTTTGGCAAGGCGAGTATATTACGAAGAGCAAGGAGAAAGTCTACGACCAAGGTTCCGATCCCAGACCGCTCATGCTTCGCCTCCGTTCCGGTTTTCCATTCGTCGGCTTTCTCATCGTTTTCACCATAGCAGTACCAGTCTTTACCTTCGTCGAGAAGGCAAGCTTAGTGACACAGAAACTTCCCTGGATCATGACAGGGCTAGCAACTATTATTCGCATACTTTGGAATACGATGAACAGCGACGTTCGCATGCTGCAACCTTTCTATCTCCTCTCGCTTCGACATGCTCCAGCCAAGACTCTTACACTCGACTATGCCGGCACAAATCCGCTATGGTTGCCCTTCGAAGCTTTCTTAAACGGACACTACCTTGTCATGCTCGTCGCCTTCGGATCCGTATTTGCTGAAATTCTGACTGTTTGCGTAACTTCAATCAGCGTGGATGGCAAAAAGTTTATTCCTGGATTTGGAGGCAAGGACAGCCACGAAAAGTCAGATGAAGCGAATGATCGCTACAACACAGACCAAACTTTCCGCAGTTTCTGGTCGAGCTTCACCCTCACCATGCTCATCCTGCTCTACCTCATCGCCATCGCCATCCTTACCTACACAAAGCGCAGTCAGAAGTTCATGCCGCGTCAAATCGGAACAATGGCGTCTGTCCTTGCTTTCATCCACCAGTCCAAGATGCTGCTTAGCTTCATCGAGACGGAGAAGATGACTTCGAGCCAGATGACAAAACATCTAGAAAAGACTGGGAAGACATACGCGCTGGGCTGGTTCCAAGGAAGAGATGGAGACGACCACTTGGGTATCGACGAGGAGGAGATTAGTAGTGCATATGTTTACGGCAAAGATTGGACGGAAGGACGTTTGAGGCCAGGGAGAGACCTGAGTTGGGAACAATATTAGATGTGCCTCGAACATACACGCAAGGAAATGCATTTGTGTCAACTTGGAAGATGCGCATTCAATTACCGACGCTGACCTGCTCCCTGTATTCACAGTCCCTGGCGCCTAGACGCCATTATGCTGGTATAATCATTCCATCTGACGCGTATATGTCACGTCATGGCTCCCTGTGTCATGTACCCCGGGATTCTGTTCTTCCGCTTTGATGTCCAATCCCCATCGCATATGAACCTTGTCCCTCTGCCCACAACCACAGCATCCTTTCACCTCATCCTCAGTTCTGCCCATCCCCGACGTTACTGACCAGCCAATCCATACCCTCTTGTACACCTCTTCCATCTACAGCACTACACGCAACGATACTCCAATTCCGATCTTTCAGCTCTCCCAGTTTAAGCGCCTCGCTGATCTCGCCTGCGCCTTTCGCGCCCGGTTGATCTTGTTTGTTGGCAAAAACCAGGAGCGCAGCGTCGCGGAGTTCTTCTTCGTTGAGCATGGCGCGGAGTTCTTCGCTTGCGGTGGTCAGGCGCTCGATATCGGTGCTGTCGATGACGAATATTACAGCGGCGGTGTTGGCGTAATAGCAGCGCCAGTAGGGGCGGATCGAGGTTTGGCCTCCGAGGTCCTGAAACGGGTGTTAGGAGGGGAGAATATCTGGTAGGTGGGGGGAAGTGGGCTTACCCAGACGTTGAAATTGAGGTTCTTGTATGTTACTGATTCGACGTTGAAGCCTATTGTTGGTATTGTTGTGACTACTTCTCCGATCTGGGGTGGCTGTTAGTTACATGCGTTCATGCCTCAAACTCCAAGATATATGTCTTGACGGCTCCTCCACCATAATGCGGGATGTCGCGTACCTTTAATCTGTATAGCAACGTCGTCTTTCCAGCGTTATCCTGCATTCGTAGTCAGCACTGTGCATGCATATTGTGGTGTTTGATGCTCGTACCAGCCCCAGAATCAATATCCGTATCTCCTTCTTCGCCCATATCAGCTTTGTGAATGTCGATAAGTAGCCGCCCATTTTGTCTCCCTGTGTCTATCCGCCGCTTCTAAGGTCCGTCTGTATGCGGCGTTGACCGCTGGTTCAATCGTTCTGCCGAAAGGGACGCGTTCGAAAGGTTTGGAAATGCGAGTGATTTTGTGGAGGCGTCGTCCCGGTAATGCAAGTAAGTCTGTGAGAGTTGGGCGTATGCTGATTTGTGGCTTGTTGGTGTTTCACTGTTGCTGTCTGGCCATAAAGTTAGGTGGTCTGGTGCAAACAGTGCAAACACCGAGGTCATCGGCGGCGCGGCACGTTTTGCCGATGTTCCGCTGGTTGTACTGCACCTATGTACCATGGTTGAACATGGCGACTTTCTAATTTCATATATCACGCGTCGTCTTTCGCAAGCTGAAGCTAAAATTTCGTTTCGAAAAACTGATTGTATATCTCCAAGGACCCAACACACTACACAATGTTGCGACGCGATTGTACGCGTGCTCAAGCTGCGATCATGTGCTGCGATACCGGACCACCTGTACCGCATCTCGGACGCTCCGTTTCGATACGTATTCGAGTAGACGAATTCATATTAGCCTGATGCCTGGCTTCTCCATATACTGGTAACTGGAGCTTTGTGGAAGATGTATTCCGACTAACGTCCAATTCGTGCAAGCCTACCTAGGTACCTCAAGGCCAAAGAGATACAACTCAAGGAGATGGATGACAAGAGAGAGAGAATCTGATTGGCCGTACGTCCCACTTATCCTACCAAAAGACCAGCAACATCTTCAGCTAAGAGTCTGCGAAGTTGGGACGCAAGTAAAGGGGAGACTATATCAACAAGTTCAGAGTGGGCGGTCTCTGTGTGAAGTCTAGGAGGGAACATGAGGGACGAAGTTCTCAGAATCATGGTTCGATACATGCACGGATGATCTCTTGTTGTGGGATCATATACTCAAAGTTGTCCGATAAACGAGACCACAGGATGCCTCGCGCCATAAACGACCATCACTTCCAAGGTTTCCCTTGCCCACAATCTTTCTTCCAAACTTCACTTCACTAATGTACGCTGGTCGATAAACTGGAATTTTTAACGTAACGTTGCGCTGCTTTCTGGTCAAGCACGTGAGTTGGTTGTCAGCTTGTCGTTGCTGTTTGGTCGCGGAGCCCCATACCGCGTTCATTACTACAGTCTCCATCACCTTGAGTCACAATGTGCCATGGTTTGGAGCCGTTCCACGCATTGTAGACTATCATAGGGTCTGGTACTGGTTTTTCTAAACTGCGACCAGCTTATATGAGGCGAAAGCAATATGTGAGACTTGGGAGTGGTGAAAACCAAAGTCGATTCGTACATCAACTGTGGTAACTTGCTCAGCCACACGATAGTGATCATTTGCTCTTCTACCATATTCTTGCAACAGCAAGCAGTATAAAAGCCAACTCATCTGCTCGTCTCTTCTAATCATGCCAAACCACTCTCTGCTCATCATCAAGAAGTCCAAAGACGTACATTTCTAAGTTTTCCTCCCAAAACACAACACATCCGCGACACACAAGCAAGCACGACACACGACCACAAGATGTCTTGTCAACTACTCAAACTCGCGCGTGCCCAGTCGCCCGAAAAGCTCATCAAAATGGCTTTCGAAGTTCTTCCCGAGTGCACTTTACAAGCTGTCTTCGGCACATTACACCCGAAACAACATCGCATTTTGGAGCAACAGCGTCGTCGCAAAGTATCTCTGCACTGTCTAGCAGACACACTATACTACCACCAGGGCGCCCAACTCTCTCGCCTCGGACGCTGGAACGACATGACGATACTGCAAATGCAGCATGAACTCGCCAAAAGGGGCAAGCTCGAGGAGGGCGAAGCGACGACCCTAAGCGAATGGAAATTGAGACTCCGCCTGGTCTGCCTTGTGACAGCAGAGAAGGAGGCATGGGGAAAGGCTGCAAGTGCAAGGCTCGAGAAGCGGACCGAAAACAAGAAAGCATGGGCAGCTCAATTAGCGGTATATGATGAGATCGACAAGGATCTGTCAGAGGGCGCTTTGGTGGAAGCGGAGCAACATGTGATCTGCTGAGCTCGGGACAGGGCGATAGCAACGGTTGCGAGGAGGCTTATGGTACTCTGAGCTATCTGATTGCGAGAAGGATCACGGTACTCTGAACCATCTGATTGCGAGCAAGCTTACGGTACTCTAAAGCAACCGAATGCGCACGTTAGGAAATCTTCTGTTGACACTGTTGAGTTGTTCAATCATTAACGTATAATACCACTAGTCTACTGTGCCTCTTATCAAAAGTATATATCTCCAAACTCCGAGTTGTCTCTTTGATGCAAAACTCACTGGTGATTCGGTCTTTCCCAACATCGTGAAGATACACTTTTCCCCTTTCCTCCCTAGCTGTGCAGTCCACTTTCCCCACCGACCCTTTCACTTTCACGGCCAGAATACAGAAAACAACACCACGTGCGCAACAAAGCTTGAACGAGAGCTTCTCGTGACGAACTAGGCCGATTTCGCCTTTCGCCTCTGCTTTTCCTACCGCACACTGTGAACCAACTTACTCAATCACTCCCAGATTCCTGTCCCGCGGTTACAACAACCACATCTTTACCGAAAGTTACCACAACAAGTCCCTCCACCAGACAACCTTTGAGTCTTGATTACCCCTTTCTATATCATTTCTGCACATTCACATAACAAAATGAACTTCCTCTCTATCATCACCGAGGCCAAGGGCGAGAAAGCCCCCATCAAGAAGGCTACTCTCAAGTTCAAGACAGCGCCTGCGCCAAAGCGCAAGACCGCGAAGGCTACATCAACTGCATCACTGGCGTCCAAAGGCGCAAAAACCTCTCCTACCAAACACTCTTCTGCTGTCGCCAACGCGCTCACCCTTTGTTCGCCGAAGTTTGCGCGAAAGCGAGAGACTGCGAGGCGTACATCAACTGCGTCACCAGCGTTTAGAGTCGAGAAGCGCACTGTTGCCAAACACTCCACCCCTATCCCCAAAGCGCTCAGCCGTCGCCTGCCGACTCCTGTGCAGAGTAGCACTGGTCCAGAGGAAGCTGCACCGCGCCATCCCCTGCCCAAACCAGCTACTGTCATTCGTGATGCCAACTACTCTGCAAAGTCCGTTGATGACACTATCGCTGAGTTATTAGCTCCACATCCCCTGGCTGTCAAACAAGCTGCTGAGCGTGACGCCCATGAGAAGGCTGTTCAACAACCGGCTCGCCAAGAGCGTCGTCAAGCACCTCGTCGTCGCCAGCCTGCTGTGTCGAAGGCCGATGAACAAAAGACTTCTCGCCGTCGACAACAGGTTTTCGAGCCTCCCAAGCCTTTTGCGCCCAAGGAAGAGAGGCGACCAAAGCGACAGAGCAAGGCCTCGTACGAGAACATGAGCCAACGTGACCTCCTGAACGAGGTGCAGTTCCGTACACTCGAGCTGGATTTCGACGAAAAGAAGTACCTCGTCGAAGTACTGGTCATCAATGACAAGGCGTACTTTGAATTGATGGAGATGCTTGGCGATCCCCTTGAAGCTGTGGAGTTCGCCCTGGGCGAAGTCAAGCAGCACAACAAGGAGATGAGACAGGAACGAGCAGCAGCAGCAGCGAAAGCGGCAGCGGAGAGGACCAAACGCGAACGAAAAGAAGCGCTTAAAGTACAACAGCAAGCTAAGCACAAGGTTCAGGAGAAGAAGCGACAAGACGAACGTGAGAAGACTGGCAAACTGGCTCCCAAGAAGAAGGAAGTCGAGGAGAAGGTCAAGGAGGAGAAACACGCTGTTGAGGCCCCAAAGCAAGAGCGGAAGCGGAAGCGAAAGATCAGCCAGGGTGCTGACGACTCTGGTTACTTCAGCAAGTCCTCATCCCCTCCTGAAACCGGCAAGAAAGACGATGAGGCTTCACTCAAAGGCAACAAGCGTGTACGCTCCACCGACAACGACGACGACGAAGACAAGACGCCTACCAAGAAGGCTAAGTCCTCGAAACCTCCCCAACCTCCCCAACCTCCCGTGGCGTCTCGCACGATCAAGCCCAAGCGCAAACCAGCAGCCCTTCCACGAGCGATGCAGGCTGGCGCTAACAGGACATCATCAGGGAAAGACAAAGATGTTGAGATGAGCGATCAGGTCGACTCAGATGTCGTTGTACCTGCAAAGCGAGTGGAGAAGACGACCAAGAAAACGGCGCGGGTTGATGCACGTAACACAGACCTTCCGCAGGTAAGCAAGCGGCGCACACGTAGCACTCGCGTTGTGGGGAATGAGGAGGACAAGGACATGGAGGACACCGACGAGGATGCCGAAGATGACGACGCCTTCGTTGTGGATGACGGCTATAAGTCTACGCGTAAGTCTAGGCCCAAAGCTAAAGAGGTACAAAAGTTCTTTTCTGGGATGCGATAGATGTGTTGTTTTGGCGCTGTCTCCTCCAGGAAATTGTCTTGAGACGCTGATGGGTTGGTTGTACGGGTTAGGCGTGGGTGGTGTCTTTTTTGGGATTGTTCTTGACTTCTTTGGATATCTCTTTCTTTTTTGCGATGATACCCTACTGCGACATTTCGCAGTAGATACTGTAGTCTAGAGCGCCATTGCGCATAGCTATGGTATCAAACATGTTGATAGATGATGACTACCCAAGTGTGTTCGAGTGCCAGAAATGTATCGTCCTGAGCGCTCCCGAGACTACCAATGCCGTAGCCTCGTTACCTCCAAGGCCTGATCGTTGGCGCTCTACAGCAAGGTTGACCGACTCGTACTTTCCGTGATAAAGGCGACACTGAAGACGCTAGCGTCGCGACAGATCGATCTCATCAAATCAGCGTCGAAAACTTGGACATAGACAGAGGCAAATTGGTCGGACTATCAGCTGCCGATGAGTTGGTGAAATGCTCCGTACTTTGCCCGTCGTTCAACCCCAACAGCCCGCCTTTCGGAAACCGAAAAGTTCAGAAGGATCTAGTGAGTGATATCCTTCAATGGTAGCAACAATGCCGTGCTGTATGCAGAACGTCTTACGTGTGCAATCGGCTATAAATTTGGAAGCTCACTGATGGATTGCTAAATATCCTTATCGAAATCCTCCCGGAACGTGTGCGCCGCTGAGGCACGGCTACGTATCTTGGCGTCAGCTCAGGACCAATTCCCGCCCCCTGTACTTTGCGTGTCCATTCGCACTACACGTAGTAAAAGCATATGTCGGGAATTCCTTGAGTACATCACAAACCCCTCCAGTTCGGCAATTAATCGTCTTCTTTGCTTCCTACAATGGCTGCAAGCAGATTGGCTAAGATGATTTCGCACCACGTCCAGGCATAGCACGATCATGTGCTGATCAACGATGACCGTAGTTTGTTACTGGACGCTATCGCTAGTATGCAAGAAAGCATCGCTGTACAGCCACACTCTAGAAAGACATTATTACCAAGGCTGGACGCCTACGCAACTCGGTGTGGCTAAGTTTATACATGATTGGTCACATGTTTATGCAAGATGTATCGGTTAAGCAAGCCGTCGATGCCCCCAAAGCTGTGCAAATGTGCATATCGCTCAGTTCTCTGAACAAGGCTTAGGGGTCGACTATTATCAGAACTGATCACTTGGCGCGCGTTCTTGTAGCTCTTGAGCAAAGTCTATATATCTGCACCAAATCGCTCTTCTGGAACAACAAGGTAAACTCGCCACATCTTACCAACGCCCTCCCATAATGACTACTGATTTCGACTGTTGCGATCAATCGACACTTCTGTCACTCGCGCAGAACGAGAGCGCAATCGGATTCCCTGACCTCATACATCCCGAATCACAACCTTCACCATCGGAGAGTGACTCGCAATCGTCCATCATCTGTAGCTTATCCACGGTATCCGCGTATAATGCTCATACCCCGATTCCGCGAAAGCTTGAGGAGGACGGTCGTGCTTCATCAGGAGAAATATCATCAGAACACTTGGTTGAATCAACCCACGGAAGGACAGCCGCATTACAGCCGTCGCAATCGAGTAGCAACCTTTTTCATTCTCCGGCGCGTATATGGAAATGGGAGTTATTCACTTGGCTACTTGGCACTTCCGGTCTTTTGGCCAATATAACGCTTCTTATCCGTTTCAATGGCGTCCAACAGCAATACTGGAAGTCAGACGTTCAGATAACCGCATTTGTGGCTGCACTGGCTCAGTTATCGCAATATGCACTTCTTGTGCCAATCGCTTCGTGTATTGGACAGTCGAAATGGAGATGGCTGCAGCAAGAACGGCGAGCTATGGATATAGAAAAGTTCGACCTCGCTAGTCGGGGCCCTGACGGTGCTTTGAGACTTCTTTGGCATCTGAGGCTGCGACCACATCTTGTGTCTCTCGGAGCACTCAGCACCATACTGATGCTGGCGTTTCCTACATTTGTTCAGCAGTCGGTAGCTGTCGTCAATACAGGGCGAGTTGAATCTCATAGAGACAGCCCGACCTATGTCAAACGTGCTGGCCGGATATCTGCCACGAGCCTCCAGTCATTCAGCTTTTATGACGACATCTCAAACAGTATCGCAATGTTCCAAGCCTTGGTGACTGAATACATCAATCCTGCTAATGTCACGGGTCATTGTGCAACGGATTTCTGCACTTGGGAACCATACACCACTTTATCGATATGCGTAACTACGGAGGATATCAGCGACAGTTTGGAATCTGGAAACACTGTTAAAGACAATGAGAGATTGCCGCCAATACCCTTTGATCATGATCATCCTTCCACGGTCGAACCCGGTACCACACTCTATACGTATACCCAGTCAGCAGGAGACCTATACGACCATTGGCCGCTACCAGTTGATGACACATCCACGTCCTTACCAGAATTTCCAAATCTGTATCTGGTGTTCTACGACCCTTGCAAGCAAGACGTTCAGGGTGGGCAAAGGTCGTTCGATGCTCAGGAGATAACGCGCTGGACAGCCCTCAGAGCAGCCTTTCGTCCATGTGTACAAATATACAATACGACGTACGAGTCTGCGTGGCGAACGACCACTAAGGCTTCACCAGAGAGCCTGCAATGGCACATCACGAAGTCGCTA